TGGCACTAATCCCTGGTAAACTAATAGTATTTTCACTTGTTCTGAGATAGAGAAATATACGATATCCAGCAAACTCACCATTTAAGAATGTTGGAAGTATTAGATTAGCACTGGATCAAATGGGTGTTCATGAGGTATATTCATATAACGTTATTGTCATTATTAACATATTTAATTTTTGTATTTGTCATATTATAACATTAATATTTGCTTATTTAATACAATTTCTATGGCGACCATATAAGGATGATGATATTGATGCTTTAATTTCAGATGACATGAGAAGAGAACGTTTTGTATGGTCAACTATGAACCCTTTGATTTATTTTGAAGTTATAAAGTGGAACACAGCTGATCGTGTCAAGCGACAATTTGTATTTGCCCAACCTATTCCTCGACCATTTGAAAATTTGAAAGCGGTTCATAACAAAGATTTACGAGGCATAAAAGAACCAAAGAACTAGAGAATCATTTATGATTATTGGGTCATAATGTGGGAGCATCGGTATCAGCGTATCTTACACAGATTGCCAGTTAATAACTATTATTCTTCTTATGAATATTGGACATGGTACACAATTTATGCAGCAAATTGGTTATGATTATGTCCACAGAGGGAGCAACCATCACCTGAACAGCAGCTATTCCCTGACGAGCTACTACTTTCTCATCTTGAGGAAATTCCCATGGATACATCACCGATACAACATCAAAATATGCCACCATCTGCAGTTCAACCGAATCATGAATATTATTGGTCACTAGAAACGAACCAGTGGTATTCATTTCAATGGGATGACGAACCCTTACCTCAACAAAAATGATGGATGTCTGTAGATATAAGGAATAGTCGAGATGGATCAAGAAGCAGAGAATTTCGAGGTAGGAGGTATGTTAATTGTAATAGTGTAACTGTGATATCTGGTCAATTTATGTACACATATGACTTTGGAGTTGATGAAGGTCAAAGTTCCCAATGCAATCGTCCTTGTAGCTTTGACTTAAACGAGGTCACAACTGTAGAAGAAGCACCAATAAATGAGAAGGATGTGTATCGACCACAACCACTGATAGTAGAGTATGAGGTTGTATCTCAAGGAATATTCTCACCAGGTGATGAATGGTCTTTGCCACTAATGTCATGGGATGTCAAACAACAAGATAGCACATTCAGCCAAACATAAGGTTATGAGTAGGAGGAGGAGCAGGGTGTGAATGATGATGTAGACAAAAGAGGAAGACGTAGAGGATTTTTTTCACATTTATTATGTCCCTTTGTTCAACTTCCTGATAGATATAATCTGTCACTAATCAAGAAGAAAAAGGGCAAAAGAGGATAGTCATGTTGTTATTGTTTGCTTACTTTATTATATAATGTAAGAGTTATATAATAGGATTTTAGTCATGTTATCTGTTCTTTTATTTTGTTTAATTAGTTCACGTCGTTATGTAATGGGATTTTTAATCAATTATTTTAATTTGTTTGGTTATGTTTATTATAATTGTTATTAATTAGTTAGTAATTAAATATGTGTTATGTTATTTGTTATATGTTATTAATTTAAATTTTAATTAATTCATGAAATTAAAATATAATAAGAACCAAAAATTTACTAATTCAAACAACATTTATTATAATATCACAAGACATAAGTAAATATTTTGAACAACCAAAAACACTATGAAATTAAAAACAATTACATCAAAATAGGCAGTTCAACACACTACATCATCACAACTACACATCATGAACTTGGTCCTGGAGCATAAGCACATTGCCTTCGAGTGTGGTTCTTTACTCGACAAAGACTACATCGTTTTGGCCTTCTCATTTCACGCATATCCATTTCATTAAGAAAGTGGGTTGATGTAGGATGCCTTTAATTGTGCACTTTTAAGTTTGGATTAGGACAAAGTTTTGGTCCTCTATAGCAACATCATGTGCTTTCATTCCCAATTACTGCAAACTCCTTCTTATAAACCTTGAGCAAACTTCCTTGATCTTATAGACATTATCAACATAACCACGCCAATCAATGTTTTTACTACAACATGCAACAATTACGTAACGACATGGATATCTATTAGTATGCATATCACCACAGTTACAGTACCTTCATCTGAGATCAATTCTATATTTTTGGATGTTTGATAACTCCTGAACATGGAAACTCTCATTTCGTCTATCAAATTGAGTTACACATAAGTTTCTTATACCTAACTCATTTGATTGTAATCGAGTTGTCACATTCAGAGAAAATATGTCCAGCCTTTCTTTGTGCATATGCTTGACTCCTTTTATGAGCAAATAACTCAGCCAATTGAAAGTAAGTTGCTCTTAACGACAGTGATTAGAAGATTTTGAGCACTTCTAACACTGAATTAATGCACTCAACCATATTTGTGGTTATGTGAACCCACCTATAGCCTCTATCAAATGCTAGAACCCACTTCTCATAGGAACTTTCATCAACCCAGTTTGAGTAGACCTCTCCACATTCTCGTAATCTGTCATAATGAATATTGAATTCACGTTCAGTTCTTAAATAACCTTCAAAAATTAACATGATTCATATTAATTAATTTAAAATATATATTAATTCAAATAACATTTTTATTTAAAACATATCAACGTCGTGATACATACCCATGCAAACGACAAGTTTATGCAAGTATGGAGCCTTGAATCTTCGTAAAAAATTTACTGCAATATGACGAATACAATACATGTGAAAGGCTTTCGGTAGTTCCCACTCTCCATTGCTTCTTTTTATTACTGCATTAATTGACTTATGTCGATCTAAAATTATACCAATGTTATCTTGGGTGACAACATGTTTGCATAAATTATCAAGGAAAAAAAACCAGGCATCCAAAGTCTCCCCCTCAACAATAGCAAAAATAATTGGCAAAATATTCTGATTATCATCTTATGCAACAGCCACTAAGAGAATATGTTCAATCAACTTGCACAAGTGGTTTGCAGTGTCTAAATGCTCTAATACAAGGACCAAAAGTTCAGAATACTCGACAAATCTTTGTATTTTCCATATTAATATGTTCCATCAACTTACACAAGTGGTTTGCAGTATCTAAATGCTCTAATACAAGGACCAAAAGTTCAAAATACTCGACAAAATATTTTAACATTGGGAACTAACTCATTCGCACAGTAGGCATCGACAACATTCAACTGAACAACGAAACCTCAAACACTGTCACACATCGCTAAACACCATTGTAGCACAGCTTCAAATAAGGCTTTTCATTGACCATAAACTTTTTCAATTACCTTTTGTTTTCCAATCCATGCTTTTCGATATGTTGTTGTGTAGCTATATTGAGACTGAATTTCACCAATAACGAGTTTTATCTTAAAGGAAGGATCACACTCAACAATTGTGTCTAAATCTAATTTAGTATGATCCTGAGAAATCCTTCCTCTTGTTCATGTGTGTGGGTCGTTGTACCTTCTAATCTCTCAAATAAACTCGTTCCTTCTAAAACTAGCACGAAGAAGTCATCCATAATCTATTCCATACCTCACACATTTACAATAAAACATATTTGGTTCTGACTCAACCACTTTGTAGTCCACTCTGTTTGCATTACTATAACAGTTAAATGTTTGTATAACAATATCTCTATCATTAAATTACTTTTCAACATACAAGTCTCTATTTACAATAGAAAAATTGATGAAATGCGAACATAAATATAATAAATTAAAAAACTATAATTTAATTCATCAACAACATTTTAAAAAATAAGATATACTTAAATTTGCATACTCTGAAAACTCAGTTGCGTGCATAACATTAAGATTTAACAAACATATGAAAGGTGACTCCCCATATGGATGTTGACCAATCATTGTGTTTGACAAATGGACCTGATCATGACCATCGTCATCCAAATCTTCATCTTCACTCAACTCATCGCTTCCATATTCCCCTTTAGAGTTAGAGTCACCACTTTCATTGTTAGCATTTATCCATTCTACATCTTTGTTTGGTACACTGCTTGCATATGCTTCCTTAGCATCTTTTTCATCAATGTTAACTAGAATGTCTTTGAAAAAATATATATAACTCAATGGCAGGAGTCGGCGGATAATGCTGTTGATATATTTGAAACATTTGTAGAATATTAGCATCATTCGTTATTGAAAGTATCTGATATTGTATGAAACCTTCAAATATTGATATTAGACACTTATAAACAATACTTTCCAGTGCCTTTGGAAACTTCAATACAATATTTTAGTAAGCCAATGCTGCAATTCTCCAAATAATACATTCTCTCTCATATACACACGGTCTTTCACACCTGAATAACACACATTCACAAGTATTTGTAATAATCTTACCATTATAATAAATCAATAAACACTCATTTTTTTTTTATAATAAATTTACTTTCTCTATCTAAAATGTTTCCTCTTCGCTCATTTTATATCTAAAATCTTACTTTTACAATTTACAAAGAAAAAAGAGTTCGGTATTTATAGACAAATATCATAAAAGTTGTCATTGATAATTTTTAAATTTTTTATTATTATTTAATATCATCCAAAAGTCGTTAATAGTATTTTTTATTTACTTTTAATTTTTTGGATCCCAAAAATAGTCACTAACAATTTTATGTACTTTTTTAATTTTTTAAATATTTAAAACTCACCAATGAGAATATATATATATATATATATATATATATATATATTAATTTTTAAAATTTTAAATATCGTCATTTATGATTTTATAAATATATAATATTTTTTTTAAATATCGTCATTGACAAATTTTTTATCATTGACAAATTTTTCATTTGATTTGATATTTTATAATTAAAAAACGTCATTAACGAGATTTTATAAAATCCCTTATTCGTGTTATAAATCAAAAAATCTCATTTTTTTTATATTATTAAAAAATACCATATTAAAAAAAAAGAGCCCATTCTTATTAGCATTTTCTTTTGTTTATTTATTCTTTGTTTAAAAAAATGCTCCCCACCACTAGTTTCTATGGCCTAAGGCTGAACACCACACACCCCTATCTCCATGACTGTACTGTGTATAGCGTGGCTACTATCAGTCACAACTGAACTGAACATAACATCCATGGCTACAACAATCTCGTCCTTTGTCTTTCTAAAATCCAATACCTCAACGCCTTGTCACAGCAAAACGCTGTTCACGCGCAATGCTTTGTTGGGGTATGGAATTGGAGGACACAGAACATACAAACCCATAAAGGCTCAATCCGATGATGTCCGAAAGGAACATGTCGTGATCGTGGGTGCTGGGATCGCAGGCCTTGCTACTGCTCTGTCCCTTCACAGGTTGCAACTCCTCAATCTTTAAAGCCATGCTATTTATTTATTCACTGTGATTTTCTTGCATTCATTGATACACGCATGTGTTGAATGGTTAGGCTTGGAGTTCGGTCCCTGGTGCTGGAGCAAGCAGAGTCCCTTCGAACAGGTGGTACCTCACTCACCCTTTTCAAAAACGGTTGGAGGGTACTCGATTCAATTGGAGTAGCAAATGATCTCAGAACTCAATTCTTAGAAATTCAAGGGTATATTCATACATGCATACACGAACCCATTTGAAAAAATTCATCCTTCGCTTAATGCTGAGCTTGAGCTGGTTCATAATATCAGTTGTGCAGGATGGTTGTGAAGTCCGAGGATGGGAGGGAACTACGAGCCTTTAATTTCAAAGAAGAGGATCAAAGGTATGTTCTATGGTGTGGATTTTAATTTTATTATCATTATTTTTGACATTGTCAACATACATTAGTTACGATTTATTGAGGTTGAATGTTAATTTATCAAATGCATAAGGGCTATCCTGCAGCCAAGAGGTGCGTGCTGTGGAGAGGAGAGTACTTTTGGAAACCTTGGCAGATCAATTACCTCGAGATACAATTCAATATTCTTCACAATTGGAAAGGATTGAATCAAGTCCAAACGGTGATACCTTGTTGCAACTTGTTGATGGGTCTAAGCTGCTTGCAAAGGTTAGTCATTGTGATCTTATTAGCTTTTAGCTAAAAACTTTCTAGTTGCATGCATTAAGCGTCATTCATCACTAGTTCAGTTTCATGAAATACAATATATTTAGTTAATCACGCGATTGGCTGTAATTGAAATCTTAGTGTGTGTTTAGAAGCTCTTGATAATCACACTAAACCTTGTTTTAACATGAAAGTTATAACTTCTGGCATTAAAATGAATTCACATTTGAGTAAATTTAACTCCAATCAAACACGCCATTAGTCTTATAGTAAGAACCTACTGAATGTTGGAACGAAGTGTCGACAGATTAATTTAATCTCAAGATAGATTGTGATAGGGTGTGATGGGATTCGATCGCCAATAGCTAAGTGGATGGGGTTTGCCGAGCCCAAGTTCGTTGGTCATTGTGCTTTCCGTGGTCTTGCTTCATATCCAGATGGACAACCTTATGGACCAAGAGTGAATTATATTTATGGAAGAGGGTTGCGGGCTGGCTTTGTTCCTGTTTCTCCAACCAAAGTTTACTGGTTCATCTGCTTCAATGCTCCATCTCCAGGTTCGTAATATAAACAATATACATGGTTACTTGAGGGACTGTTTGTTTTGATTTTTTATTTTTTTTTCATTTTTCATTTTCATTTTTTATTACAAAATTGCTACCTTAATTTCATTCTTATTTCAAAGATTTGTATAGAAAACCGTAAAAACAAAAAAGAAGATATTTTCAGTATTTCTTGTACAAATATTTAAAAATAAGAAATAAAATAAAAACTATTTAACAGTCTTGTAATGTAAACTTAAGATAAAAAATGAAAACAAAAAACATTTTTTGAAACCAAAACAGCCTCTAAATCACTGAGCCTATAGTTGCAGTTTCAACTTAATTTATTATGTATGTCATCTTCTATTTTTGTCATGAAAAATGATTATGTATGTTCAATGGCAGGTCCAAAAATAACTGATCCATTGGTGCTGAAGAAGCAAGCTAAGGAACTAGTGAAAAATTGGCCTTCAGAGTTATTAAACATAATGGATTCTACACCAGATGACACGGTCATTAAGACCCCATTGGTGGATCGGTGGCTTTGGCCAGCCATAAGTCCAACTGCTGCTTCTGGTAGAGTTGTATTGGTTGGGGATGCGTGGCACCCAATGACTCCAAATCTTGGCCAAGGAGCTTGTTGTGCACTAGAAGATGCAGTGGTTATAGCTAAAAAGCTTGCTAGAGCCATCAAATCTGAAGACCCATCTGTCGAAGGAGCTTTCAGATCATATGGCACTGAAAGATGGCCCCGTGTATTCCCACTAACTATACGTGCAAATCTTGTGGGTTCCATTTTGCAGTGGGAGAATCCATTGGTTTGTTCTGTTAGGAACAACATTGTCATACCTAAGCTAGTCAGGCTAGGACCATTGTTGGAGCATACAAATTTCACTTGTGAGAATCTATCATAAAGAACAGTAGTGGCAAGCACAGCGCAGATGGAGGCAGCAGAATATATATATTGATTTAATCAGTGTAAAGAAAAATGCTTATGTTCATTATTACAGTAATTTATAAAGCAAGTATTGAAAATTCCATTTTAAACAAGTAAAAGCAGTACATCTATATCAACTTTTCTCTTTTGTGAACCTAATAATGATTGGCTTGGCGAAATTACCTAGTGTACTTTTACCTATTATTAGAGATTAAAAGTTGAATCGCTTTGGTTAGTGTAAGTCTGTTACCATACCAGGAAGCAGTAACGTTACCAACAAATGCAATAAAACAACTAAGTTGTTATACAATCAAAATTGAAGAGGGCTTCTGATTTCTGAATCAACAGTAATACACCGCCTCATAAAATTTCTAAGATTCCAGTGCTAGTAGGTACACCACTATTTTCTTTCTATCCTTTTGTTTGTTTAGCATTAAATTGGTTCATCTGAACTACAATAAAAAGTGAATCACAAAACAAAAGAGTTGGTTTTGTCTTCTTCACTCAAACTTGCAGAGAAGAAAAGGTCAAAATATAGCATACGCTGACCTCCATGTTGAAGCTTAGGCTGAAATAGTTCATCCATCAAATTATGCAATCTGTAAAAAAATAGAGCAGTTAACAACTCTGATTGTATAAAATTGCAAAAATAGGAGAAAAAAAGCGGAACCTTTAAGATGGAAGTACTGTTGGGTGTAGAAGAGAAGAACCAAAGGATGATAGCGCAGAGAAGAACGAGAAGAGGGATGAGATGAACAGCGTTGTGGGCTGATCTGAGACGAGAGAGGTCTCTCTGGGCAACGTGGGAGAGGGGATCGTATGTGGGTAGGTGTTGGTCATGGTCATGGTCATGGTCGGTGTCCATGTCCTGCGCTAAGGATGTTTTCTTAACACTCGACCACCTCTGCATAATCATATGTTGTGCCGCTAAGGAGACAAAGAAAGATAAGAAGAGAATAGGAATTAGGAATTATGCAAATAGTGTGTATGTATTAAGAACTCCTTCCCAATCACTCAAACTACACACTTTCTTTTCTCCTTCCTATATCGCTTTCCTCCCAGTTTTTTATATTACCATTTTCAAGGTGCCCGCAGGCCATATTTTCTGCCATAAATTCTACAAATTTCAACACTCTTTTAATAAGAAGAAAAAAAAATTGAAATAAGGTGATTCGCGTGATAGAATAATAATAATAACAATTGGTGTTGGAAAAAATATAGAGAAGACGTGTTATACAAATAATCTGAATTTTTTAGTACCGTCTAAATTATATTTTGGAGAATCTCGTTTTTTTAAATAGGATTCATCCGAAATTTGATAATTAGGTTTAAAATTTAATACTTGTTCTTTTTCATTTTTTGAATATGCAGTAATGGTGTTGTTATGTGGGTGACAAAGAGAGGTTTATGACATGGCATTGTTTATGGATATCTATTGTTGACTTTATTTTTAAAATTCATAGACCAAATTCGCGATTTAATATTTATTTTCTCCTTCTCCGTTAACTGAACAAAAAAAAAAAACCTCCATTTCCTTTCTTCTAATGAGATAAGAATTTACCTTTTTCATTTGTCCATGAAAACAATAATCTTGCCTTAATACACTATTAAAGATATTTATCAACAAGAACGTGGTTGTACCAATTAGTAAAATAAATTTGAAATACATACCGAAAATATGTTTGTAATTTCTTTTTGCTGTCTAACTACAGGTTTTTTTTTATTAAGATAATATTTTTTACTAAATATTTAATACAACTTTAAAACAAAACCAAGCCACCCATTGATGCTCACGTAATTTATCGAGAATACAACCACGTAACCTAAAGGAACTGAGAAACAGACGGGTGTGATGGGAAGTGAATGCCCTCTCTCACTCGTTCCATCAACTTTCTCCAATCATCTTTTCCACGTTCGCACGCCAATATCTCCAATTAGTGCACTCTCCACAGCCACTCACCCATCACAAATCTGCTTGTGCTCCTCGTCTTCAACTTCCACACGAGTTTGTGCAGTGGACAATCATTTTCGTCGGTGCCTCCGTTTTTTCTTCATATTTTACACATGTAGAAAATTAAAAAACAAAAAAAAAAATTCCGTTGCCGGGACTTGAACCGAGGTCTTTCGGGTGAGAGCCGAATATCCTAACCAACTAGACTACAACAGAGACATTAGCTTCTTGCAAATAAATCTTATTAGCCTTTAAATTGTGTAAACGAAGTTGTGAAGAGGAGTAGGAAGTAGTTATGAATGGCTTTGGTCTCTAATTTGAGAATAAACTTGGAAGGGAACAAAGAGAAAAGTTTGACATTCTTAACTTGGTATGGTATGAACAGAAAAGAATTATTTTCTGCATCATACATGAAGCGACCTTGTAGCTTGAGAAATTGGGAAGTGAGTAAAAATAAAGCACAAGAAAAAAAGATGAGAAAAAAGATATTCACATTTGAGTTGCATTAAGATGGACTAGGCAAACAATTAGACATAGACATAGATCCCTGTCTAGTAAGATTGACAGTCAAGGCCTTGGCCTTGCTAGTATACAACTTCTTTACATTAGAACTCTGATCTTGCATTAACCTTGCCAAACTCCTCTTGGCGTTTGCCCTGAAGGGACAATTAGAGGCCAAAAACCCATCCACCAAATGCAAGTAAGCCTCCAAGTCATGGCAACATGCCATGTCAGCATCGGGCTTCAAATAGGGCGACATCTTGGTGTGCACGCGCAGCTCAGTTCCCACGTGCGAGTAAGCCAACGGCGTGTTCTCTTCCAACATGTCCATCATTTTAGAGTTCCTTATTTTTTGTTCAAGCTCTTCGCTCACAAAGATTCCAGGGACCCTAGTGATCACGTCTTGAGAGTTCACTATTCTAAGTACTTTCACGTTTTTCGCGGTAACACGGTCGCCAAAGGCCTTGTTACCCACCCGAGGCCCACCAAAGGAAAAAACTGCCACGGGTGGCATATCTGGGCAGCACGTGCTAATTTCATCGGCCACCAACAAGGCTAGTGTCGCACCTAGGCTATGCCCCGTCACAGTTATGCTTAGCTCTTCGCCTTTGTAAAGATCAACCAGCCGTTTCACTTCTTCCACCACCGACTCGGCCAGGCTCGCCACGTGAGCCCCCCTTGTCTTGTACAAGCTCATGAACCCGCATTCCACTTTGGCCTTTCCTTGGGCTTGGCCTTGGGCTTCTGAATCGTTACTGTCTTCTCCAGGCATGTCAGTTAATTGGGCCCTAAGATTCTCTGCCCATTCGAGACACGTGGAGGTTCCGCGGAGAGAGATCACGATGTCTCTCCGTCCCAACCGTGCGATCTCTCTTCTGTCTTCGCATACGGCGACGTACCCGACCCAGCTTGATCGCTGGGTCATCCATCCGAGGTCCGGTGCCACGTCATCGACCCATTTGGGTAAACCGATGGATGACGTGGCATAGAGGCTCTTTGTCATTCTGTAAGACCTGTCTGGTAACGCCACGTGCCGAGGTTGTGGTGGCTCTTCCGTTGACATGGCGGGGTCGGAGTGAAAGGCTTGATACGCGGCTTGCACGAATTCGCCGTAGCGAACGACCTCTCGCCGGAGATTCTCGTCGAGAGGGTCCAACATCCCTTTCCAGTCGTCGCTGCCGTGATACTCTCTCCACCGGCGGCCTAGGATGTTCCTCGGAGAATACTCCCCCGTCTTGGAAAGCAACCGCTGGAGGCGCTTGAGGTGGCGCGGGGACATTTCCTCCGTTGCTTTCATCTCCGGCCATAGCCGAGCCAGGTTAAGACCTTCAAGGAAGCTTCTTCCTTTCTTTTCCTTTGAATCGTTGTTGTTGATGGGTTCTTGCGGGTGGTGATAGTGGTGGAGTTGGGTGGGTGCAACCAAAGGCTGTTGATTCTCGAGGAGCTTGTCGAGGTTGGCGAGGTGCAACCGATTTGACTCGGTTGAGATCATGGTGGTAGAGAAGCTTGAGGGTTGTTTCAAGGAAGAAGAAGAAGCTTGGCATCTGAACTTGAAACTGGGGCATCTTATTGCTTGGAACTTGTGGAGGTTGTGAGCTGATACGGTGGAGCTGATCTGCATCATGGTGAATAATTGATGAAGAAGAAGATTGTTGAGGTCGAGGAATGAGGATGAGTTTGGAGAATTATTCACAGGTGAAGAAAGCGTCCTCAAATGCGCTTGAAACCCAAGTATTGAATGGATCAAGTCTTCATGGGGTGTATTTAAAGGGGTGGGGGTCTTTACTACGAAGTTGGTACTTTGCTTAGTTTCCAATTTTGCCATTGATTTTTGTTATAATTACGGAGGGGGGATAGCAATACGTTAACTTTGCTTATTATTTTATTTTTGTCTACAATTTTTTATTGTTGTTTCTTAATAAAATTAAGAAAAGAAAAAAACAAAAAAAAAGGCTTTGCGAAAGGCAGTAACGTGGACCGCGTCTGGGGTTGCGGTGGAGTTTGAGTGTGACCATTGCATTTGCCATTAAAGCCGTCTCATTCCATAAAAGTATGCGACCACAGCGTAACGCTGTCACTCGCTTTTGCTATGAAATGACTGATTTGTCCCTGGGAATCGGGATAGGATAACGGCATCAGAATTGAATTATGTGCTGTTTGACTCGTAATCGTAATCAAAGTTACTATTATTTTTGAAATGTAAATGTTATCTGCATTCCTTTACATAAAATCGAACAACAAAAGAATGATAATTCACAAGAGCATAAACACTGAAGTAAATTTTTTTGCTAAAAGCTGAAAAATAGCAATTAAATATTTTTGGGTTGAGTTAATACAATGAGTTATATTGACTTGATTAATCAATAATATAAACATAAAATATCAAATCTTTTTATTCGTGTCAAAGTGATATTTTCTCCGGTTAATGAAAACGACTCAATAATGCGACTTGGTTTTTACCGTAATTACGAGGAAACTTGATTTAAACATTTCACTTTGACGTTTTAACGTATTTTCGTGAGCTCAAACGCTAAAATGCAACATATAAGTTAGACATTTCATGTTAAGCCAAAAGTTTTGATCCAATGATGTGGTAGTGAAGAGTTTGAACATTGAAAACGTAAGATGATCATAGAACAATTCAAGTCAAATACTTTCGTCAAAGGCCAAAACTCTAACCCAGACACGAATAAAAGCACACCATGTTTCCTTTTGTCATAGCTATGTGTTGGTGGCCTATCCTTACTCATTCAACACCCTCAGAGAGCCAAATATCAAGAAAATTGTTGCATTGCACCCTAAAGCATTTAAGTGTATACGAACATGGCTTGGACTACCTGAGAATGCCGCCGGATGCGCCGTTGAATTCATGGTCCTACATTGGACGTACACCTTGTTTTCTTCTTTCAATTTTATTATATTTTGCTTAATTATTATTATTTTCATTTTATTATTATTATTTTTTATTTTTCTGTTCCAAAGGAAACTTTGCTCCCCCCACACACACATATATATATATATATATATATGCATGCAGCTCAACCATCGGGTAATAGAGACATAAAAGTGAGTAGCAAATCTGACTCAATATCTGAATCCACCATAGTGGGTTGAGTTATTAAAAAACTAACTCATTTTGCCCCCACCAAAGTCATTAATGAATGCATCCAAGGCCATGTTTGTTTCCTAACAAACACATTATTAATTATTAGTTAAATGTATTAAAAATATAAATATATACACAAAATTAGGAGTAAAATTTATGTGATTTTAATAAATATTTAAGATTATATTAAAAGTGTGTTGTTAATATTTTTTGTTTTTAAATTTTATCCACTTTCAATTAATTACAGGCACTATTAATTGTGTTATTCAAACAACTAAAAATGAATATGACATAAATACCATATACAGTTTTTTATTTTTGTTAATTTTATATATATATACATATTTTCTAAACATGTCTAATAAATAAATTAAATAATAGAAACTCACTCTAATAATTTTAAAAACAGCAATACATCATTCGATCTTTTTTCTGCGTTTAAAGGTGTATTGATTAAATTGCAAAATAGATTTCTTGTGTAATTTAACAATGTCAAGAGATAAGAATGTCACTAGAGGGAATCTATCTATATTTATTTTGTAGATTCGCACCATGAAAGGGGTACACTCGGTGAATTATACAAGCCATCTGCATATAATGGTGTATCTACTCCAGCATAGACCAATTAATTGTTCGGTTGGAATAAAATGACATATATGCACGCTCGTTAATGGTTGGATACTAATTATCTATATTTTTCCTTGGTGAATATGACGAGTACACATGTACCAGACAAATCCTTTAATTAAAAATGAGATGTGTATTTGACAGGGATATGAATGAGATGGAACAAGATGAAGATAGGTATTAAGTAACCATTATCTTTATTTATTTATGTATTAAAAATTGTCTCATAGTCACATCGGTGCCATTAAATAAATATTTTTAAAAGTTATTATTATTATTATTATTATATGTGGATATGTATAGATACATTTAAATGCTTATTAAGCAAATTCTAAAGTTTTAAAAAAAATTAATTTAGAGTAATTTATGCATAGAATTATAATTAAAAAAATAAAATATTTAAAATGAAATTTTTTTTACACCCATTGCACCCATAAAAATTTGAAGAGCATGAAGTGCTTCGGCCTTCGGTACAAGCCTTCAAGAACTAGACAATGAAGTGCTGTTACGTGTCAAATTTAAACTGCTCTCTGATGAAGTTTAGCTACTTTATGAATTGCTTGCGAGAAAAGTAATTATTGTTGCAGTTGTTTTTGCTTGGCTAAACTAAATTCATCAAATTTTATAGTATAAAAATTATAAACATAAATATTTATCGTGAGAATTTTTTTATAATAATACGTAGTTTTTAAAATAAATAAAACGTTTTGATTATTATACATTAGAATATAATTTATAATTTTATTTATTTAAAAATAATGTAATATGAATTATAATACTATCTAATTGATTAAATGTTATATTTTTTATGAGGGAATAATATATTAGGTTAATATATATTACAATATCATTCTTTTTTGTAAGCTAAATATAAATCTTGTTGGTTAATGAAATTTACAGCAAAGAAGGATTTTAGCATAATAAAAAAAATCAAGAGATTAATGGTTGACAAATTGATTAAATGTTATATTTTTTTATGAGGGAATAATATATTAGGTTAAATTTAACTTATTTATCAAAGTTTTACATAAAAAAAAACCCTTAAAAATTATAAATATATCAAAATTATTATAAAATGTTTACTATAACAACATGGAACCCTTTAAATATACTTTGAGATTTTATTTATTAAAAAAATACAAAATATTAATATTATATTAAAAGTTTGTCCACGTAATAATCTAAGCTTATGTATAGTATATACTGATTTAAACTAAATATTTGTTTTTTTTCCTTTTTAAAAAGATTATAATTATATGTAAAAAAAGAATCGCAGTAAGCAGACTTTAGAGTTATTGTAAATAACTCGTATCCTTGTAGAAGTAAAGTAATTACAAATGAAAATATCTGCTTTCATGTAAATCAACGATACAATAATATATAATCGTCATTGTTTATATAGATTAACTCTAAGCAAAAAGTAAAAGTATTAACAGGACGATAAGCTTTATAAGAATTTTACTAACCTACCCACTCGCGTAAAAGATTGCATCTTTATTACCTTTCAATTTCATTAACTTGTAAATTAACAATCCCATGTACTATTAAGTATTTTTTAAGTTCCAAACCTCGAATGAAGCAAATACATGTTTCTGTTTCATGATTTCCGATGATTTAACACATTAACAAAACCCAAAATGTAAATAACACACTTATAAGATGCTAAATTGGTGTGATGAATATAATATCCTTCCAACATATCATGCGCCTGTGATGCGACATGCTCCCCGCGTTGTCGCTCCAATTTATCACTCCCAAACTACAGAAACGCCATAAGTTGACTTTTGATTTTTTAATCCAGCGGTTATTCTCCCTCCATTTCACATTACTCATTTCCACACACACACACACTTTGTTTGGTGCATGTTGTGCATGCTTGTTTAGTCTCTTGTATGTTTTATACTTAATTTCTATTAAAATTATTTATTTTATTTTTAATCAAATTTTTTATAAGATATAACTTAGGTAATTTTAACTTTCTTATAAATTAAATAACATTTATTTTATATCATTTTACATGTAAAATAATTATCACTAATTAAAAGTAATTTTTAAGAAAAATCACAACGGTCAATTTTAAAAGAGTGTATATAATAAATTTACAATTGTTGTAATAATTATTTATAATTTTATTTTATTTTATTTTATTAATTAAATATAAACATAAAATAAAATAAATTATATCATGTTATTATCTTATTCTGTTTGCTAAATAAGTAGTTGTGCTAAAAAAAAGTAATTACTTTACTCATGTGAACTTTTTTCTTAATTGATTGGTACTAAGCGAACGTGGAGACACGGTGTTGACATTAAACATAATATTCTCTTCCGCGGCAGATCAATAGTATTATATTTTGTGCTCACCAAACTTTATGAATTATATTAAATTTTGAAGCATGATTAATTGCTTTTTAATACTGAAGCAAGATCACATGCTCACACAAATTGCATATGTTTATTGGTTTATAATTATCCAAGCAAGTCAATATATAAATTTATAATTACGTGTTTTATAATAACTCGGAACAAGCCAAGTGTGTGTCGTTTTTCCTCCATTGACATTTGACTTTTTTATTTCTTTAGTAAAACTAAAAAAATAAAACACTGTGACCGTAGGCGCGTATGTACTTTTTATAAAGCCAAAAGCCTGAGAAACCTGAATGATAGAAATATGCTTTCACTTTTCAGGGTTTTGACTTTTGACTAAGGAGGAAAGGATAGGCCAATGAACTGAAGTCATTTCTGGCACCATTTTAAGTAGGTGGAAAAAGAATAATAATGTTTTTTTCTTATTACTTTGCTTATTATGTAATTTTTTATATAAATTAAATTTTTAGAGTAAGTTGAGATTTTATTATATATATATTTTTTTAAGTATAACTGAAAGATTTTTAAACTTTAGCATCCGTTTTGTACAAATTATGTTAAATCATGTAAATATTTACTCTTTCACTTTTATTTTATTTTCTATAGTAATATTTTATTTTTCTTTTTCCTTTATGTGAACCGATTTTTCTTGTTAAAAAGTTAAATTGCATGTGACAAATAAATGTAAAATATTATTTTAAAATATTTAGAGTGCTTTGATAAAATATATTGTTTAGAATTTATGATAAAATATATATTAACCTTAATATTGTTAATATAATTTTTTTATCTAAAGTTTTAATATAAATTCAACTCAAATTGTAAACTTAAATATGGTAAATAAGTTTAACACTGATTTTTTTTTTATATATATAATAACTCAAACTTGATATTTTGTTTAAGTGATACAGAATCATTTATTACTCGGATCAACTTCTGTTAATTAATATGACATCTTTTTAACTAATATTATTAAAATTGTATGGAATGAATAAAGTAGTTAAAAATAGTAGAAAAATTATTAAAAAATGTAAATTATATTATTTAAGTTTTTATTATTTTAAATTGTTTTCTTTGAATATATTAGTTAAGTTTTTTTTATTATGAATATTTTTGTTTAGATAGAGTAGTTAAATTACTTAAATTTGAAATAATGAAATTTTCACTATATTTGACAAAATTAATTAAAAATGTAAAATTTAAATTATTAAATTAATTATAACTAAATAAAAATATAAATAACAAATAATTCTAAAATTTCACTCTTTTATTAAGATTTATAAATTTTTAATTTGAATCTATTAAAAAATTAAACTAAATTTTTAAAATTTTTAAAATTTAATATTCAAACAACAAAATTAATTCATAAAATTATTTTAAAAAATTATTATTCACTTAAAAAATCTCATCCAAATTCAGTTTAAATAAATCATACAATGTTACTAAAAAATTAAAATAAATTTTTTTATCAGTTTAATATATTCTGGTGATTAATAATAATAATAATAATAACCTAAACGCATGACGCGTGATATGGCAGAAAATTAGAGGTGCTGAGCCGGAAAGGGGCAAAAGGGCCAATGATAACAAAAGCCTTAAGTGATTAATATACCAAAACAGCAACTAAAGTGATATAAACTATCGCTTTGTCGTCACCCAAAAAAGAAACTATCACTTTACTTAATGTGATAATCTCCAATAAAAACTTTACTTTGTTTTTATATGCTTCTACTTTATTTTCAACCAATCATTTATTCAATTATAATTTAGAAAAAAAGGCACACACCTCTGTTTTTATTAATAATTTTATGTCATTAATTTGACAAATCATGTTAAAAAATATATCTCAATTAAATAAAATAAAAGCAATCGTTATATTTATTGTGTTAAATTATTATCTGATTGTTGATAATTTTATTTGTTATTTTTTATGATAATTTGAATAAACCATTGAAAAAAACGATTACTCAATCGTTTTTTTCGTTGTGATTATAGTGGATGAGTGTTACTTCCACTTTGCTATAAAGGAAGATTGGTGTGTGGTAGGGTATAAATATATTTCATTTGAATACCACGTGAAATGGGTGATCTCCATAGTCCATTATCAATTATTCAACGTGAGAATTATGTGCTGATGGAGCACATATCTTTTGTGAGTTGTATATCTTTTTTAAATAAAATGTTGTCTTTAAATTATTCTATTTTGTTAAAAAAATTAGGTTTTGAGAATTTATAATAATTATGTAAATTATTAAATTAATACATTTAAATAAATTTTTTAAGATTTTATGGAAAAAAATATTACTCTACTAATTCAAAATTTTAAATTAAAATGAAAAAAATTGGAATTCTGTTTTTTTGTTGTAATAATTTGTTTGCAGATACAATTGGGAAACTAAACAAAATTTCCCTTTTTTTTATAAACAGACATTAAAAATTGTTTTTAAAATAAAGAATCAAGAAAGGAAACTAAGCAATAATATCTCAAGCTATATATTTATTTTAATAGCCTTTTGTGAAGTATAAGTTAATGCAAAATCTATTTGCCTAACCATTTAATATAACAAACAAGGAGAGTAACTTTTAAGATAAACCAGACAATTTATTTATTTTAATCAAAATATTAAAGTACCTTAATTTTTTCTCAATATTGAAGAAGAGCAACAAAAATATCAAAGCAGTTTATAAAATAGACTAGTCTGTTTAGTTTTTTTTTTTTAAAAAAAAACTAAAATTTTAAGTTTAATTCATGAAAAAGTAGACTCATAGATTAATGGACTAACTTGTTAAAGGTAAATAGTTTGAAAGAAAAATGATGAAAGGGAAAGGGAAAGATAATAAAGTTAAACTATTTTTTTATTTAAATGTTTAATATTGAAAGATGAAGGTGGAGAAAGTTTAATTATTTAAATGATATTATTATTTTTATATATTTTAAAAGATAAATATTTTTTTTAAATTAATATTTTTAATAATTTTTTAAAAAATATTTTTACTTAAAAAACTAATATTATTTTATAAAAAATTAGAATCTTAATCATATGAAAACACAAGAAAATCTTTAAATTAGAAAAACTTAAAAAAATTGTATTTGAACAATTTTTAAGAGTTTAGAAGAACTTTTCCACAGCATTCTATACTTTTTTTTTTAATTAAATAAATTTTAAATAAAACTTAAACTTAGCTAGTCTTCTATTTTCCTCTTTCTAAACATAACTTTAGCCTTAGTGTATTAGTAGAACAATTGACTGAGTTGTCTGAAATAAATAAAAAATTATAAGAAATAATATTTATTTTATAAATAATTATAATTATTTAAATTTTAAAAAGTTAAAATATATGAAATATTTATTATTTTATAAATATTTGCTTTTTGAAATAAAAAATTGTATTTAACTTAGTATATTTTTAATTAAAACATTCACTTGGAATAAATTAAAAAATAAAATAAAATAATGAATATAAAAAAGATTACAAAAATATTCTTATGGAAGCTCTGAAAAAGTTGGAACGTGCACTAAATGAAAAAAATTATTATCTTTAATAACTATGTATTATTAATAAAATATTTGATTTTATTAAATATTATTTTTGTAAGTAACTAATTACGATAAGACATTTGAAAATTTCAATTATGTATATGAATTTAATTAATGAATCTAAGATATGTGTTGTTAATTTCTTTTAAAGATATAATGAGTTAGAATATTTCTTATAATCATATTTTATCTTTAATAAAATGTTAATGCTTAAAAAAAATATCAAACAAAATTTATCAAATATTATCTTATTTAGTATGATATAAATATTGATAAATATGATTTTATTTTTTTTACAAAATGCATTCATATTGACTTAAGATTTAATATAAATTTATTTAGTATTATTTTTTTCACATTATTATAACCTTTTTTAGTCAATATATTTGCATGATAAATTTGGAGTGATTTATGCAATAAAAAATTGTATAAAGTTATGTTTTATTTATTTTTAAATATTCATACATTAATAAAATTCAATTACACGCTAAATATTAAAAGTATTATAGTAATGCACAAAGAATGCACAGAGAAAGAGATGAAGATGCATGTTTGATATTAAATACAACTCAGCATTTCTTCAACTACAAAACAAATAATATTAGAAACAAATGTTTCACTTTCCATAATAAAAAACCCAACCACAAGAAATATGTTTTTTATTATCTTTTTTTTTAATTTAGTTATGGTTAAAAGTATTTTTTTTCCTTTCTTACACTTTAGCACAAGTTTGAAAGTGGTTCAAGTAATTTAAATGCAGGAAAGGAAGTAACTCTAAATATAGTAAAAAATTAGATGAAAAATTAAAAAATATATAAATTTATATTAAAATTTATTTATAAAAAAAAGGAAAATTTCTTTCTCGCCCTCACTATTAATCTCTCCCAAACTTTTGTATATTTTATTTTTCAATGAACCACATTTCATGACCATCGAACCACCATTGCATGCATTCATTAACAAACCATGCATGAATCAGTACCCACGCCTCCACTATATCTCTCCCTTGCTCAGCTAAAAAAACGGCAATGGAGGTGGAACACACTTGAGAATTGAGGAAGAGGAAAGGTCCAAGGCTCCTAATTGCATATGAGTGATTTCTTTTTAATTTCTCTGTTAGTTATATATATATATATATAATTCAAAATGTTATCGTAAAATTGAAACACCCATGGCCGCTTAATTTTGTTCTAAATATGCGATTTTTAGAGATATATATGTGAGATAAAAATTATAAATAAAATTTTATTAAACAAGTGTGAATATAATTTGTCCTTTTTTTTTCCCAGTAAATTTGTAATTTTAAATACAATAGTATTTGCCATTTTGGGCTCATTTGGACCATAGGGTTTCTTTAAGGATATGAATTTTGCACGTGAACTTAGGGATGAGAATAATGGGCTATGATTTTGAATGGGCCATTATGTGTTGGAACAAGCCTAGCCCTATTCTTAGCTTGCGCGGTGGACTGGTTGACGGTGACAGGCCCTCCCTTCTCCGCCAGATCTCCTCATCGTCCACAACAACGGCGAAGGGCAAGGGCTTCTCTTGTAAGCTTCTCTCTCTCTCGTTCAATCATTTTCAAACTATAGCTGCATTAATCTTTGTTATGAACTTTGGTGCATTGGTTCGTTTGACCTAAACGTTTAAGATTGCTACTGTGTTTGTGGATGTAGCTGATGGATCTCCTATTGTGCAGGTTGAAATTTATTAAGGAGGTAAAACATGTGTCGGCAAAATTCTCCGGTACACCATTCCGGTGAAGAAGAAGTTGCAGCTGACGAGAGTCTTTTGATTTATTGCAAGCCTGTTGAGCTGTACAATATTCTCTACCGTCGTGCTCTTCATAATGTAATATAGTTTATGCATTTTTCTTGCTGTATTTATTTTTTGCTGTGTTGTGATTTTTCAAATCTCAATTTTACTCTCCTATTTTCCATAACTGGATGGAATGTTCCAATTAAGGCCAGAATCGTCTACATTGAATGCGTGCGTGTCTCCTTTTTTTTTTTGGCATGCTTAAACCTGAATTTTACAGGCTGTAGTTAACAATTTTAATATTTGTTGTCAATGTGAGCTGAGCTTGCTAAGAATCCAATTGAATATCAAAAGTACAATTTTACCGATACTTCAACTCATAAAATGGTCTTATATTTGTGGTTGGACACATCTCCTCCACATTTGAAATTTGTTCTTAAAATTAATGTACATGCCAAGAAAAATATCTGAAACTTGATTGGTTCTACTGTATAATTGATTTCTCTTGCAGCCTTCTTTTCTTGGGAGATGTTTGCGTTATAAATTAAGAGCAAGGCGTAAAAGGAGGTAAATATTCCTTCCAATGACTGTATATATGTATCGTTTTCATTAATTTTCAGTTTTGTGATTCCATGTTAAACTGTACTACTCTTTATACTATTTCTATGCTGCTAGTGTGTTCACTCAAGGTTCTTTAAATAGTTGTGCTGCTGGACATTAATTATTTGTGAATTAATTCACAATCACATATCTATGTATTTCTTTTTTTTTTTGGATAAAATGAGAATTCATTAATGATTAAAATTTTAAATTTTGAGGATCTGGAGTCCTCCTGTAAGAGAAACAAAAACAATCAAGGAAAAGAAGTTAAAAAATAATTTCAGTTCAAAAGAGTAACTGTCCCTTTTCGTATAGAATAAAGATTCACCATCTTTAGATTTGTCTTAGTGTCTTGCACAACATGCATTACTCCCCTAAGGAGCTAGGTGCTGAAAACATGCTATGTATAAAATTATGAATTTTCTCAAGCCGTACGAGGGTAAAACTTCTTATACGTTTCTAGGGAGGGGTACATTGTTCATCTATATCTATCCCAATGAGCTGTTTATTGATTAAATAAGGATTAAATGAAAGAAGGGGCTCCGGTGTATAGAGAGGACCTAGTCGTTTAAAAATAATCATAGAAACGATGGAACCCATTATTTTTTTTTATCTATATAGAAAGGCTTGAAGATCAGGAAAGGGGGAAAAACAATAAAATATTTGACTATTTTTCTTTAATTTTCTTCATAAACTAGCTAATCTTCTATAACACTCAAGGTAACAATAAAAGATTAAGATAGTCAATTTACCAAACCAAAAGCCACTTTCTGCATATTGTCCCAAGTCTCAATGACATCAGTATTTTTTTAATATTCTGACTATTTTACCCCCTTGTTAGCACAGTTAGCAAGCTTGGGACAGAATTTTTTTTCCTTTGGTGGGTGGGATAATTTTTTGCAGTTATTGGTATGCTTTAAAGGTGTCCAATGCTTGAACTAGAAGAGCATGTGTAAGCCACCAAAGGTTTTCACTTCACTGAAGGGTCAGCACCTTAACCAGCGAGAGGTGCTGGCTTCTTCTGGCCCTTCTTTTGTTGCCTTGACCACTAGCAAGTGATTATTATTCAATTGTTGACTTGAGTTAATGTTATACTTGTATAAGAATTTTCCTTTTATTGTGAGCTAATGGTAAGCCAAATTCAAAAGTGAAGGAATCAAAAGTTTTTCAGGCACAGGCTCTGTTGTTCATTGTTTCTGGGTAGTGGATTGATTTCTAGTTTAGTTTTAGCAATCTGCACTTGTATCTTTTTCAGAATTTACATTTAACAAGTGGTAATTGATGCAAAATTTCCTGAATAAATATTAATGAAAGGGGTTCTTATAAGTATGCTTTATCTCTTTTTTATCATTGGTTGGATTCTTTTTTTGCTTAGTTGGGTGGTAATGGAAATGCTTGTGGTGCTTTCTGTTTAATAGGTTGAGAGCAGGAATTGTGATTTTCAACTATAGGGACCGTTACAACATGCTTCGAAAGACTGAAGGTACATCTTATTATCAATAACTAGGTTCCACATTGCATCTTACCATTGCTGTCCTCTACTAAGTTTGTACTCTGAAGAGCAATAAAATTAATTGTCAACATTTTATCATTTGTTTATCTTTCAAATGAATCCAGCGCCCTTCTGGATGCTTATGGCTAAAGGTTCATGATAAGAATCCCCTTGCTGGGATTCTGGAAAAGGACCTTTTTAGGTTGAAAAAACGCACAAGGGTTGGAGAATTTTGTTGACTAACATGTAACTGTATCTCAAGTTATAGAACTTGGAATGAAACGAGGTCAAAACGAGGTGAATCCTCACGTTATGGGGAGCAGTTTTGACTCAAGTATCATTGAAAAAGAAGTTGTAGAACCGAAGTTATGATCAGCACATATTTTGGACAAAAATTGGGGAAGTTTAGGTTTTGAGGGAAAGGTGATGGTGATAATGGGTGGTGCCACTTTCATGGAGAAAGATAAGTGACAAAGATGCCACAAGGGGGATGGAAAGCCCTTGATAAGTCTAAGAATTGGTTCAGCCAAGAACCTAGAAGAATGACTCTCACATGAAGTTTTGTTTGATAATCCAAGTTTGCCTTTCATTGATGTAAATGCGAATACATATAAGGGCTGCCACTTAGCAGCCACGAAACCCTAAATATTTGTGCACCTCACATATGGGCCAACCAGCCCATTTAAAACTTAGTGAAAATAAAAGAAAATAACAAAAAAAATTTATTAGGCTAAACTCGTATGCCCATATGGCAGCTCTCATAAACTTATGACAAACTTTATTTAGTAGTGAACAATGCTTTAAAAAAAATACTAGCAGTACTTATAGTATCAAGGGTCTTCAATTGGAACAATGCAATGAACTAATTTAGACTCCAAGTCCTCCAATTTAGGGGCAACTTCAAGAATTGTTGCTACCACTTGCTTTAAAGCCTCCTTAGCCTTCTTAGTTCTTACTCTAGTCATAGTCCTTCAAGTGCATTGTTTTCCTTGTCTTTAACTGTTCTCATCAGTTCAAGTGCAGAATTGCATCTATAATTCTGCATATAATTTGCGCTTATAGGATTTTGACCATGCTGCTATCTTGAGTTGACATTTTTCAATTCTTCTTTTTTGTGCTGTGTTTGGTATTCTTCTTTTTTTGAACAAATTCTTTCATATAAAAAATGATTTTGTCAATATACTGACACATTTCCCATCTCTTTGTGAATGCAGTGACTGAAGACTTTTCTTGTCCATTTTGCATGATGCAATGTGGGAGCTTTAAGGTATGTACTGTGAGTTGTACTTTTATTGTGCTTGTTACATACATAATTTAATAATTAAGAGGGTTGTTGTTGTTGTCACTTTTCTCCTTTTTAGAACTTAACTCTGGAAACTGGTTGCTGTGGGAAATATATTGAATTTCAGTATTTAACTATGAAGCCTAGATACTTAGTACGATGCGGATACGATATGATACAGGAAAAATTTAAAATTCAAGATACGATACGATACTGCTTAGATACATTAACATGAACTTAAAGAAATAACATACTTTATACATATACAAAATATTTATAAAGAGATATTGATAATTCATTTATATTAATGTGTTATATTTGGATATCAATGATCACATTTTACAAAAAAAATACATGCGATCATGTCTTTTCTTTGTCTAAGTAACTAAGTCAAAATATTTCTCCTACTATAAACTCAAAAAAATTATATACTTTACCCCCTATTCAAGTTAGAATTCCACAAAAGAATTGGTAGTTTTATCCAAAAGAAATATAGAACTATCACAAAAAGAAGGTCCTGCCTTTATACTATTTAATTCTATCTAAGCTGTATCGGATGATTAGGAGCCGTATCCCAGCCGTATCAGGTTGGAAATTAATTTTTAAAAATAAATTAAATTATAGATGCTTTTGAGATAAGTATCTGAACGTATTAGTATTGGATATGTTGGTTGTTTTGAAGTATCTGGGCTTCATAGGTATTTAATGATTAGATTCTCTGATTTGAACAATAAAATCTAATATTGTTTTGAAGTGGTGGAATTTTAATCTGTAAATGTTGATTGAGTATATGTGGGAACTTTAATATTTTTTTGCAAGTCTCAATGTGCTCTTCTATTGTTAGAAAATATTTTCCTTAATTGAGCTAGAATCTAATGGGACAAATTAATTATGGATTGTTTCCACACTTTCTTTTGGCTATTTATTCTGTTCAAAATTTTACTATAAATGCACATGAACTTTCTGTTGAAGTTTTACATATCTGCCTGATCATATAGCTCATATCATTTTCCATTTTCTTAATTATTGCTTAATATTTATTGCAAATATTCTTTTTGGCAATTTTATTAACCTCAGTTTATCTGTGCAGGGTTTGCGGTTTCATCTTTGTTCATCACATGATCTATTCAACTTTGAGTTCTGGGTTAGTTGTTGTAACTATAAAGTCAACTTTCACATATTGATCCTTCTGAATGGCTTTTAATTTATACTTGTTCTATTGTAGGTTACTGAAGATTACCAAGCAGTGAATGTCTCAGTTAAAATTGATATATTGAGATCAGAGGTCAGAACCTTTGATTTTGATTTGTGGGTTAATGGTTTTTTGATTAAGGATTTTAAATTGTTTACCTAAGGATCTGGTGACGAATCATAAAAAAAAAGCATCTCATTTGGTATTATTAAAAAAAACTTCTTAAGCACTAACCCAATTATACAATTTTGTTTTTCTTTTTGAGAATTTGGCATTTGATTGAGTTTAATGGCGTTGTGTGATCCATGTAGCAAATCTCACCTAATGAGATTGGGCTTAATTGTTGTCAAATTGAGGTCTTCTTTTTTCTGATGGATTTGTATAGTTTTTATCTTATAGAATCTGGTCTCTGCGGTGATAACCAAGAAAATTGCTGTTGGATAGCTTAGCTTGATTGCAGCTGCTGAGGTTTTCTTGGTTTTCATCTGTGGTGTTATGGGTAAAATGGGTCCTATTTTGAGGAACATATTTGTGTGATATGTTTTTGTACTGCCATAGTGCAGTAACTAATCTGACTTTAATGTAGGATTGCATGAAAATGTTTGTCTAATCAACCATTTTCTCTGCAGCAAAATGTGCTATTTGCCCAATGTGTTCCTACGGGCATTGGGCTAAGGCTGAACAAAAATGTCAAGTTTAAAATGTTTGACAGGACATTTACCTTGTGTTTATCTGTCATTTCACTAAGATTGAGTGATGAAATTTCCTTTTTTGGAAGAGTATTTTGTTGAATTCCCTTTTTCATTTGAAATGCATGGATTTTTTTTTGTTATTCTTTTACTTTGTTAATATTATATTGTTAACACCTATCTATCTGCATGCAGAATGTTGCTGATGGAGTAATTCCACAATCTCAAACCTTCTTCTTCTGGTTAGTTGTGTATATTTATTAAAGCAGTCACTGACCAATTCATATAATTTTGAGCTAGATTAGCAAATTTAAATTATTCAATAATTACAAATGTACAGCTCAAGACCTCGTAAACGTAGAAGAAAGGACTCTGTTCAAAATGAAAAGCGCTCCAATGTAAAGTTTCTGGAGTTGGACTCACCAGAAGGCATACAGAATGGATTTCTACAAAAAGATGATGGTATCAATTGTAGTTTGATGGCTGCTGTGACTATAATTAGAAACAATATTTAGACATTTAATGATTGCTCTCTATCTCTCTCTGCCTAAAGCACACACAATTCACCAAAATGCATTGAGATTTGTCTTTAAAGCATACTAGTAGAAGAGAATTTTTTTCTGTGGTAAATTGTAAAATAAAAGAAAAGTGAGGATGCAATAAATTTTGTTCCTAAACTATAAAACACACAAGAACTTGTATTCTGTTGGGGGATTTTTGGCAAAGAAAATAATTGTGGGAGTGGCAAATAACCTCTATCAGTTTAGACAAAATCATTAACAGCTACAAACTGTATGTTTTTGATACACTAAAATTGATTTTGACAAAAACGTTACAGTGGTAAGTGTAATTCACCCTTTTTGTGCTTTGCTGTTACCTGTTAGGATGACTCCTGATCCTAGTTTTGTTTCTGCTTTTGATATGTTATCACTTATCCAACAGATACATACCTGGGATGAATGAGTAACTTGATGGCTTGATATAATCTTTTTATTTAGATGCACAAAGTGCTTCATGCTGAGGAAAACTTCTTAAATATCCCTTTTAAAATAAAAGGGTGCTCATTGTTGGATTATTTTACTGCAGTATATAGGGGGAAGGGCGAATGCCTACTCTTTGCCATTGTGTTAATTGCAAGTAATGTCTATCTATTTTTTGGTTCATGTATTCTGTGGTAGATATCCTATCCTGCAAAGGGGAGAACATGTCTAGAACATCTCTTAATGAGAAGATTTTGCCAAGTAGAAGACATGGGGAAGGAAAATTTGGTCTTGATCATCCTGGCACTATGGATGACCTGGAGCATGTTGAATCCAGTTTCAACATTCCAGGTGTTTCAATTGCCATGCCCCAATCGTCCGGGGACCCTGAATGTAGTAAATCAACATATAGAAATGATCCTGCTCTGCCTGCTAAAACAAAGAAGTTAAGCATGGATCGATCAGACTCAAAAAAGTATGTTCATAAAATCTTTTTGTTTCTTATCTTTGGTTTTTTGAAAATATAAACTGCATTTGTAAATGAAGACTAAACTATTTTTAAGTTCTTTTATTATATTTATTTCTATTGTTTTTTAGTTTCTGTTGTTATAATTAACTAGGTACCATGTGACATGGGGTATAAGTATAGTTTCTGATAGGTTTGTGGTGATTTTTGAAACATCAAGTTGTATTTATTAAAATTCTAAAAGCATTTTAAGTGAACGGTATAAAATAATACAAAGTTGAGAGTACTTCTGTTAGGATTTCTGAGTTGTACAATATCTGTATTGGCTTATGCATATGCATCATTACTGTTACCATCAGCCTCTGTGATTGGATTATATTTTTCTTTAAGAATGTCTTTTAAACTTTGGATCACCATAAAATTTTATTAGTTTGAGAAGAATGAGTCATGGCCATTATTCTTTATCTTTCTTATGAGTGTCCTGATTTGGTCATTTTGATTCAATTTTTTAATATTAAATTGTTTCTCTAGCCGTATGCTCCTGCAGAAGAGACAGTTCTTTCACTCACACAGAGTTCAGGTGATTGCTTATCTCAGATCTCTGAAACTTTTTATTTGCTTATGTGCTTCTTAATATGCTTGGTGTTTGGAATATTTTATGTAGATGTTAATTGCTACAAGCGAATCACAGGCTCTTGTGATTTGTTATGTGTAGAAACCTTTGGTTTTAATGTTTAACAGCTATCCATCATGCATGAATTTGGTACTAGACTGCTAATCCTCATTGTGTTTACCACTAACTTTGAGAGGTTTGATCTTAAATAAACAGGAGAATATTGGGTTAATATTTACTGACAGGCTATTTGTTTTTCCCCTCTTCTGATTATGGGAATCTTCTCATACTCTAGAGACACTGACAGGGTCTTCTGTTGTTGAAATTATAGAGATTTAGGTAGGGAAGTAGGAAAAAGGAAAATAAGCTAAAATATCTGAAATTGATATTGATTTGATTATACAAAATATGAATTACTAAGCAATTAACCCTTATTTATTCTATAAACAAGAAAATAGTTCATAAAATATGGAAGCCATCCTTTAAAGATCATCTAAGATACTTAAAATGATTTTGTAACAATAAAATTGTTGTTACTTCTGTTAGTGGACTTGTTCTTTTAATGCTTTATCATTATTTGATTTTTTTCTAAGCCCCAGCTCTATTTTTGTGTGCGTTGATTGAAGCCTATGGCACTAGAACAAGTGTTATCAGATCGTGACAGTGAAGATGAAGTTGATGATGACATTGCAGATCTTGAAGATAGAAGGGTAAGCTTGAAAAGCCTTTCAAATTCTTTTTCTTTCATTTCCTTTTCCTCCTTTGTCTATGTCAAAATGATGCATTTGAGTTTGTTCTTCTGGGCACATTTTGTAAAGAACAGGACACGAACATGATTACATTTGTTATAGCACTTTATTGTCAAGTCATAGTTTGGTGAAATTATGCTCTTCATTTTCACTTCTGAAAAATCCTTATTTGTTTTGGTCCTTCCTTACTCTAGTTGCTCTTCAAGTTCTCCGTGAAGTGTACAATTGGATATTTAAAGTGCAACAAACTTATTTTAATCATTATAATTTAATGTTGAACTTGCAGATGCTTGATGATTTTGTGGATGTTTCCAAAGATGAAAAACAGCTTATGCATCTCTGGAACTCTTTTATGAGGAAGCAAAGGTGTGTGCAGCTATCAGTGATATTATAAATTTTCACTGTTGTCTCTCTAGCGTCCCCATTATTAAAACTAGTTTGCTTTGTAGGTTCTGCATGATAAATGAAATAAACATTCTGTGTAATCTGCATGATTATCAGGGACTTCATGTGTTTTTACTGTGGCAGGGTGCTGGCTGATGGTCATGTTCCGTGGGCCTGTGAAGGATTTTCCAAGCTTCACGGAAAAGAGCTGATCTCATCTCCAGCTTTATTTTGGTACTTCTTTTGCTCCTTTCTTGCATCGATATTTCCCCAATTTCATGGAGTTTCCCAATTAAAAGGAATCACACTGACTGTCCTTGATAGCATTGAAGTACTGGGTTCTAGACTGAATTCATCAGTTAATTGTGTAACAAGACATGCCTTCTCTTTCTTCGCATATTCATTTTGTGACATCTCATCAATGTGCTGTACTTGTTTTAGTTTATAAATTTTTGCTTCATACTTCATCTTATGATTCTTATCTATTTATTTTGGAACTCTTTTTTTAAAAAATTAAATTTCCTTTGATACAGGTGTTGGAGGTTATTCATGATCAAACTTTGGAATCATGGTCTTCTTGATGCCTGCACAATGAACAACTGTAGTATAATATTAGATAGTTACAGAAACGAGGGATTGGATACTGGCAAAAATTAAAGACCAGAAAGAAATTGACTCAGCAACAAGAATATACAGTCTTCCCTGCCTTTAATTTGCTTGACTGCAGGTTCCCATTTTCGTATTTGCATAATTTATGATTTTTTGAATTATTATTGGACTGTACATTGTATTGATATTCTCAATGTATTGAGATTGAAATTTAGGGGGATTCCCTCACATTAATGTTTATTTCTGAATCATATCTTGCCTAACAAGCATAAAATTTTTATATAATTATAAAAATGTGTATAATACTGAAGCTTTATTACATTGTAAACAATTTTAACAGAATATTTAAAATTTACTTTGTCACCGTAATAATTTTAATATGACATGAAAATTATATAATGTTGCCCGGCTCCACTAGGACCATCGTAATTGGGTGAATTTTTATGGATGGGTCTGTTACTAGGAAAGTAGTTTAACCCATTCCTGAATTAGTCAAGGGAAGTATACCCGTGCCGGGAAATCTTTGACATTATAATCATTTATAGCACACTAAATTAAAAAAATCAAAACAATGAAAATATTTTATGCTGAAAGAGGTGAAACATATTCTTGTCTCAACTATAACGTCTTAACCTCGTTTTTACACAAACTCCATAATTTTCAATTAGGCTTTCATGTTTCAGAAGTTTTTAAGATGGTTATTATTCCTATAAATTTTTTATATTGGTACAATAGGTAATGGCTATTTGATCTCCATCGTTAATGCTGATGTTTGCAGTAATCTATACGTTATATTTTTTGTTATTACATGTTTTAGGGACATAATTATAATTTGATAACCAACACTGATTTAATTCCTGACTGTTTATACTATACGTAACTATTCAACAATTTTTAAAACTAAAATTTTTTTAGGAACTTTGAAATGTAAAAATTTAATGAAATTATATGGACGTAAAAAATAATTAATCCCGTATGTCCTAAGCGATTTTTCATGTGTGATAATTGATAAAAGTATGCAAATGAAACGGACTTTCTCATTTTCAAAAAATGGACTTCTAACCAAAATTTAATATAAAATGATAAGCAAACCTGTTAGAAAACCACCAATGATCTAGCACAAAGACACAAACAAATGAAAACTTGATTGACAAGATAATAGAGAGATTCGGATGTTCACATTAAACCAAAGGCATCTGTGTGCAAATAAACCATTAGGCATCCAACTCCAAAGTAACGATTACACATGTCTAGAAAATGTATACCGAAAGTAAACAAGTTGAAACGTCTGAACATTACATAAGGCTAAAACATAAGTTTTTTGGGTCTGAAAACATTAACATGGCTAAACTCTGCACGTCAAGCTCTCTTTTCTAGTCTGTCTGCATCACTTATTGCTCTTCCTCAGAAGGTTCCATATTCAAGTCCAAATATGATGTCCTTGTCATATCATTTTGTGTTTCCTGGGCATTCTGATTCTCAGTTTCATTGTTTTCATTGCCCTCAGCCTCTGTAGAAGGAAAACATTCAAAGTAAGAATGAAGCAAAAAAGGGGTAAAAAAACTGTACAAGAGAAAGAGAGAGAGAGAGAGAGAGAGAGAAAGGAGATTCACCTGGTCCTGCCTCAAGTGGTCTAAAGTCTTTGTAGAGTTTTACAGCATTAGGTAACATCAAAATGTCATAGGAGATGAGTTCTTTCTTTAACTCTATAGTCAATTGTTTGAAGCCAAACTTGTGCTTCCACATCTCACAAGTATCCGGAACAGATGGAATGATCAGGTTTTGCACTTCGAGATTGCGCAAGAACTGTAGAATGTATTGATGTGATGATCATGAGAAATTGTCTTCGTGCTAAGAAGAATATTATTTCAAAATGCTAATGATTGGATCCTAGCTGGCTGTCTAAAAACTCTACATAATTGCTTGTGCAACATGGCTAAATGAATGAACACCCAAGGAGAGATCATAGGACTTTGTTAATCACTTACCGATTCAATTTCCTTCATTAACATCCTGCAAATTCCTTGGCCCCTGAATGTCACATCTGTGGCAATAAAAGGCATTTCTGCAACCCTTTTCCCATGAATTCTATTGAGCCACAAAGAACAATTAAAAAAAAAATTTCCATCTTAAGTCTTTGTTAACACAGACAGTAAAAGATCTGTACATAGGGCTGCATAGGAAAGGTGATATATTGGTATTGCTAAGTTTAAAAAAATTGTTTACAAACTCATCAACCGAAGAAGTTGAAAAGATAAACAAACAGAGAAAGAAGGATGAATGGCATTACCTTATAGAAGCTGCACAGATGATTGCATCATCTTTCTCTAGGATAAATGTATGAAAACGATTAAAATCAATCCTCTTTAAATCTGATCTGTATAGTAAATAATAGCAAATGATCAAATGGTTGTCTAATTCTTGGTAATATTGAGAGCAGACACATGGTAGGAGTAACTAGATTCAAATGTTGAACGGGAAAAAGAAGTTCTGAGAAGAGAAGTAATAAGTTATATATATATGCATTAAGATCTGCAAAACTAAATGGGCATAAATAATATCAATGTGCTTACTGATGACTGTATAGCACGCTACGAACCACATCAATGCCTGTGTGTCTGTCAGTTATTGTCTTGAAAGATTCATTCATTAATGTTAAAGCAATTTCAACCTTCAAATTGTTTTCCAAAAGTAGGGTCTTAGTCTTAGCTGAATGAAACTCAGAAGTCATATCCATTGCCATTGGGCGGATGACTCTCCAAGAGTAGCTTCCAAAGATATCAGTTCTTATTGCAATCGAACTCTCCAATTTCTCATAGATCTTTCATCCAAAAACATAGTTAGAAGCTTAAATGTGATGAAAAAAAGGGAGATAATCTCTTCCAAACATAGTATTTCATTTTCATGTTTGACATGTGAATCACAGGGAAAGAACACATACCTTTCTGCAGCTTTGGCTGCAACACAATATTGAAGGGCTAATGTCCTTGTGCTCTTTTGAGACTTTGTTTAAACATTCCCAGTGAGCTGCAAAAACATGACCAAGTGCTATGTCAGCAACAGCAATGAATCATGTAAATGAAATTGGGGGAAAGGTGGGGTGGTTACTTTAAACGTGAAAAGCTTTAAACAACCTCCTAGGAAAATAGAAGAGATAAAAAAGAATAAAAGCTAAACAGATCAAATAAGAAATCTTACTAATTTTGCCACACTGCCAGCATGTGATGAATTGTAATTTACGTTCAATCCCACAGTATTTGCAAAGGCAGTAGGGACATGACCAAGTACCACAGGGAACTTTCTGCAGTTCGAAAATCCCAACAATTCTCAATATTTATGTTGGCTATAAAAAAAAATCATCATTCAAAAGAAACATAAAACAGACCCTTTCACAAAAAGAAAATGAAAATCCATTTAATTACCTTCATATTCATACAGCATGCATGATATGCAGAGTGACAAATCTGACAGCCGAACAAGTCTCCCCCATCTCCACAGATTGAACAAGCACCATCTGTTTGGTTTGTGGAAGTTTCTTTTGGTTTAAAGTGAAATGCTTCCCGGCGTTTTTGTTCAGTAGCCCCATACCAAGAAGCAGTGAGGTAGTCCTGGAGACATGTGCTTTCTTTTGAGAGGTAAATATATTCATAGGGTTGTTTGATATCACTTTTAGCATGTTCCTCAAATGTCCACACAGATAATTCCTCCTGGCAACAGTTGCAGAGAATTCCACCCCTTGTAATTCTTCCGGTTATTGCTGCACTTTCCCTTGTGTCATCCCTATAGTATACTTGTTCACCTTCCTCAATTAGCTTATGATCTATTAACCATGACAATATGGTTTTTTGGTTTGAACTTGTTCCTTCCGGTAAAGATGAGAGTTTTTTTATGCTTAAATCATGTCCTTCAGGTAAAGGTGAACCTGTCTCCATGCCTGGATTTGGTCCCTCCAGTAAAAATGAACCTCTTTGTGTGCTTAAATTTTGTCGAACTCCACTAGTTTCCCTGGTTTGTCTTTCCTCAGCTATCTTCTTAGAAGGTGAACCTTGTCCTACAGGTGAAGGTGAACCTTGTCCCACAGGTGAAAGTGAACTTTGTCCTACAGGTGAAAGTGAAACATTCTTCATGCTTGGACTTGGACCCTCTGGTAAAAACGAATGTTTTTCCATGCTTGAACTTTGTCCAACTTCACTAGTTTCCTTGTTTTGCCCTTCCTCTGCTGTCTTCTTAGAAGGGAAGCTCCTTTTACGTCGTCTGGGCTTTGCATTTGAATTTACACCTGAGTTCAGCATTTCAGTCTCTATTTCTTTTGGAGTGGATGATTCTGCATTCCTTCTTTTAGTTGGATTTCTAAGCCTCGATGTTGTATAATCTTGATCATGACTATTTGAGTCACTTTCAGTATCGTTTGGATCTTCAAAGGCTACATTGTGCTTTCGAGGCCTTAATGTGTAGGTCATGTTGCTTCTAGTCATTGAAAGTTCTGTTTTGACAATGTCAATTCTATGTGCCAAAATATCTGTGACAGAATTAGAAGAGAACATGAAAAAGACTTCCATACTCAAACTGGTATAATCATAAAATTTGCGTGTGAAACATTTTCATAATCTTTAATTACTATTTACAAATTCATGCCTATTTCAAGCTTTTCCATTCTTGTTAGCCTTTACTGCCGAATCTTTCTCTCTTTTAAATTGGGAAATTCATTACCACACTTACTTTATCAGGGGTAAACAGTAATCAAACTATCTTTATAATACCAAAACCTCCTTCTAATAGAACAAGTGCCGATGAACTGCTGTTCTTTCTTAACTGACTAATTTTTTTTTCTTGAAGAGTAAAATATGAGCTAAATAGATAAGAGAAGTAATAGGAGGAAAATGGCCAGAATGAACAAAATTCAAGCAAGCACTGAAACCCTATACACACATAAGCACAAAGTTATATTAATGAAATAGAAGTCTGAAATTTGAAAATCAAATGGGTTTTGACATCACAAAATAAACCAGAAGCAACTTAAAAATTTTTGGAGCAGTCAAGAAAAGCAAACAATTTCCTGCATACATAAATAAACTTGTCATTCATGGGATTTGCACTTCAATTGCTTGGATGTGAACTATCTGCAACATAAGATAATTACCATAACAGTCAGAGAAAACATACCTTCAATTCTAGAACAAGATCTTTAACCTAGATTCTTGATGTGCAGAATTTTACACATTCCTTTGGAGTTTGAGCTGTACCAAAGAAGCAAATGATATATGAAATTCCTGCACAACTTGAAATTGTTAGAAACTTTAAATTGGCATCAAAGGAGACTGAACCCTTTTCCAATCAGGTGATGTGGGAATTGATATCCAGTAGAAAACTTACCTTGAATTTCTAGAGCAAGATATATGACCTAGATTTTCGATGCGCAGATTTTTGTAGATTCCTTTTGAGTTTGAGCCTTGATACAAAGGTAGGGTTGCCGTCTTAGGACTTCGAAGTCATCGACTCGGATTTTGGAAGTAACCTTGCCACTTATAGGGTTAGGCTGCCTAGGTCTATTCTCCCCAAACCCTTCTAGGTCGGACCCTTGTGCATTGGGCCGCCTTTTAAAGTTTGGGCAGCCCTAAAGAAGAAAATAATCTAAAAGTTTAAAAAATGCCTGTGCAACTTGAAATTATCAAAATTTGTGCACCTAATATCTAGTTTCATTGGGAAAAAAAATCATGTTTATTTGCCAACTAGATTAGGAATATTGGTACGAGGAGATTGAACTTTTTACCAAGAAGGTGAAGCTGTAATGTAATTAGTGTTACACTAAATTATTAACATATCATAACTTGCAATACAAGAAATTTACCATCACTTCTTGGTCAATATCTTTAATCTAGATTCCCAAAGCTTAGAGTTTTATAGGTATCTTTGAAGATTGAGCAGTATTTGATGATCAAACAGTCTAAAGATCTCTAAAATGCCTTCATATTTTGAAATTCTCAAAACTTTTTGTAGCTATCATCTAAGTTCATTCATGAATTTCATGTTTATTTGATAGGGACTGGGAAAATTGGTACCAGCTGAGACCAATCAAGTTTTATCTCATTAGGTGAAGTTGGCTATGCAGATGACATAATGTCATTGAACTCGGTCAAAAATCAAATATTTAGAAATCTAATTAATCAAAATGTCTCTTTTAATAACTTTGTTTAAGGTTTTTTTTTTATGTCTTCCTTGACTCCTCTTTACTAGACTAAGAGTCATGAGTTCATTTTCTTCATTGACATCTCTAAAAGGTCTTCTTTACACATGATCGAACTATCTTATGATTTTCGTTCATATTTTTTTTTTATTATAGATGCTATTTCAATATTCTCTCGTATACTATCATTTTCTATTTTATCCTTTCTTGTATGTTAACTCATTTAACTTATCATTCTCATTTTTATTACTCATTTTTTTTTCTTGTGTTGTTTTATTTAGGCCTAACATTAACTACCATGTAAGATAGCTAGTGTTATTGTAGTATGGTAAAACTTTCGTTTCAGCTTGATAGGAATTATATAGTCACAAATAACTCGATGTTTTTCTCCTTATTGACTAGGTACCTGAGGAGACCAAAACGTACTATTCTTTTTTAGTGATTTGAAAGTTGAAATAGATATGTTGTGTGGTTGAGAGAAGCAAGATATTAACATGCACAATACAGAAACTTACCATCAAACAATCTAAACAATTAAAATATCATAACTTGCAATACAAGAAACTTATTCTAGATCAAGATCTTTAATCTAGATTCCCAAAGCTCAGAATTTTATAAGTTTTTTTGAAGTTTGAGCAGTATTGAATGATCAAATGATCTAAAGATCTATAACATGCCTTCATATCTTGAAATTCTCAGAACTTTTTGTAGCTATCATCTAAATTCGTTCATGAATTTCATGTTTGTTTACTAAGTAGACTTGGAAAATGGGCACCAGAGGAGACCAAAAAGTACTATTCTCTTTTAGTGATTTGAAAGTTGAAATAGATATGTTCTATGGTTGAGACAAAGCAAGATACTAACCTACATAGTTAGACTAAACACATGCTTGCTTTGCTAGGTAACATGGTGCTTGCAATGGCTAAATTTTAAGTGATCTTAAATAAATTTTCCCTACAGAAATTGTACAAGGCAATGATTTGGCCTCTAGTGTCAAAATAGTTAAGATTCTCTCTTTCATTTTAAATAAGATTTCTCTAAAGCAATTACAATTTGACCAGCAGGGAGCATCAAATTGTATTGGAAAATAATGAAAAAATATAGTAATATAGATTAGTTAAAAAGGTTGTGATGGGGACCAAGGAGAAGAAAATGGGCCTGAGGAGAAAGTAATCCATGAAGCTTCAGCCAAGCCCAAGGACTAGATAGTGTATGTGAGGAAAAGAAAGAAATTAGGAAATGTTTGAAATGTGCTGAGTTGGCAAAGCTAGTTATGGAGAGAGAATAGTTTTTGATATATTAGGCATGTTGAGTCAGAGTAAGGGGACACTTTTTGGGCTAAAAGTTGTGGGATAGAGTGTTATTTTTGTAAGGAGCTGTGCTTTGGGACATTAGAAGGACCATTTTTCTTTTGCATAGTTTCATTTCTTTTCTGTTACCAATAATACAAGTTTCCTTTATTCTCTCTTAATATTGTTGTTTCTATCCCATATCTTGTTCTATGATTTTTGGGGTCTGTAACAAATTGGTCCGACCTGCCGGATAACTCTTCGACGGTGAATGCCACCACAGAAGAATAAAGCAACAATCACCGAAATGCCATCACAGGAATCAACAAAATCTTTGGAGATGGAATTGAGAATCAGCTTCATTTAAAAGGAGTTGTCGAGTATGAGATCCACAATGATGAGGCTTGAGAATCAAAAGACGATGGAGTCATTGCATAAGGACACTGCAGAAAATCAATCGAAACTGATTTCTTTACTTTTTTAAAACGTTGAAGAAGCTGGAAAATCCCCAGAGATGGAAGGCGAGAACTCTGAACCTCTTGATCCATAATAAAACAAGATGCTAGAAAAGAAGATTGCTAATAGTAGTTTGGGTCTGAAGAAATTATAGGGAGAGGCACTAGATGAGTTTCGACAGTCGGTGAAGAAGGTTGAGTTGCGAATGTTTAACGGGCAAGGATCTTGCAGGATGGATAACCAGGACAGATTTATTTCCATGTGCAAGAAACTAGCAATGCCATCAGAGTCAACCTAGCTCAGCTATGTATGGAAGGAGGAACTATCCACTTTTTCAATTCATTGATGAATGAAGAAGACCTCAATTGGGGTCAGTTTAAGAAAGCCTTGCTTGATAGGTACGGGGGATTGGCTGAAGGTAATGCTTATGAACAACTTTCGGCCTTGTAGCAAACCAATGACGTTGAAAAATATATTAAAGATTTTGAGTTCCTTACTGAGCAAGTCCCCAAGATTCCTTAAGCACAATACTTTAGTTATTTCCTTCATGGATTGAAAGAAAAAATCAAAGGACGAGTACGCAGTCTCCATGCATTGGGAAATCTATCTCGTGCACGTTTGATGAATGTGACGAGAGCAGTGGAATTAGAATTGAAAGGGAAGGGCAAGACGGTAAACTTGCAGAGAAGGAATAAGTCCTGTTTTGGTATTGGATCGTAGTGGAGTGTGAAGCTCAATTCTAACTATGCAAACAAAAGTAAGATAAATGTGGATAGGGGGGTTAAGAGCACCGGTTATAGTAGAGGCACTAATGGGCCTGGGCCGAATCAGAGAATTGATACTAAAAATGGGCTTAAGGATCGAGGCATCAAGCATTTGTCCTATAATGAATTAGTGGACTGTAGTTAACATGGACTTTGTTCAGATGTGGGGGCACCTACTCACCTCAACATAAATGTCAAGAAAGGCAACTAAAGATAATGTTGGTGGACGAGAGGGAGGCAGGAGAAGTAAAAGATACCATAGAAGGAGAAAATGTGTTAGAGGCAGGGGATTTCGATGGTGCATGTAGTGCTCTTTGCCTCCAAAGCTTGGTGGAAGACAAAGGAGGATCACCTATGACTCTCAAGCTCGATGGAAGGATCAGGGGCATCCTCATTTGCGTTCTCGTGGATAGTGGTGCGACACAATTTTTTCTCAAAGAAGTTGGTTAATGCGATGGATTGGGATATCGAGGTAACAAAGCATGAAGATATTGATGGGGGATGGTTGAACTACAGAGACTAAGGGCATTTGTTATAGTCTAAACATAGAAGTGGGCAACTTGCAATTTACCATAGATTCATTCCTGTTTGACTTTGAGGACATTGATATGGTATTGGGGATTTCTTGGTTGGCGTCTTTGGGTGAGATGGTGGTGGATTGAAAGCTCCAAACCATGACAATTAATTTTAAGGGCAAGTGGGAGACTCTACAGGGAGCAGGAAGTGAAGGTCTTACCTTGATTGCACTAGGAGGAGTGGTAAAGAGGAATTCTCGATATGTGGAGGGGATTATGATGTCCATTGAATTGAAAGGTCATAACAATGGGACTTTAACAAAAAAGCAGAATCAGGAGCTAGAAACTTTATTGGATTGTTACAAGAACATTTTTCAAGAGCCAAAATGTTTGCCTCCTTGGAGATCCAAAACCCATGGCATAACCTTGCTGCTTGGCCAAGGACCAGTGAATGTACGACCATATCGTTATGCGCATCATCAAAAAGATGAGATAGAAAGACAGGTCAAGGAGCTATGGGACAACGGAGTCATTCAGCACAGTGCTTATTCTAGCCTTGTAATTTGGGTAAAGAAGAAAGACTAGTCTTGGAGAACGTGCATCGATTATAGGGCCTTTAATAAGGTCATTTTACCTGATAAATTTTCCATTCTAGTGATAGAAGAGTTATTGGATGAATTGAACGGGACTAGTTTTTTCTCCAAATTAGATTTGAAATCCGGATACAACCAAGTGCGAATGAAGGAGAAGGATATTCCAAAGACAACATTTAGAATTCATGAAGGTCATTACAAATATTTCCTAATGCCTTTTGGGCTCATGAATGCTTCTTCTACATTCCAATCATCGATAAATGAGATTTTTCGTGGCAAGTTAAGGAGTTATGTTTTGGTATTTTTTATGATATTTTAATATATAGTGAAAATTAGGCATCTCATTTGGCTCATTTTAAGGATGTTTTGGGTATTTAGAATCGCATCAGCTTTTTGCTAATAAAAAGAAGTGTCTTTTCACACAAAAGAGTGTGGAATATTTGGGTCATACTATTTCAGAATAGGGGGTTTCTGTGGATCCAAAAAAAGTGAAGAGTGTCTTAAATTGGCCAGTTCCAAAAACATGCAAAAGGGGTGAAAGGTTTTCTTTGCTTAACCTAATACTATCAAAAGTTCATTTGCGACTATGGGAAGGTAGCAAAGCCTTTGACAGAACTGACCAAGAAAGATGCATTTAAGTGGAGAAAAAAGGCTCAAGCCACTTTTGATGAGCTGACGAGGAGAATGACCACTGCTCCGGTTTTGGTTTTATCAGATTTCGATAAGGAATTTATAGTAGAATGTGATGCTTCTAGTTTAGGTGTAGGTGCCATCCTTATGCAAGATAAACATCCCGTGGCATTTTTCAGCAAGGCTTTGAGATCCAGAAATTTGACTAAATCTGCCAATAAGAAGGAGTTGATCGCCGTTGGCTTAACCATTAACCATTGGAGACCATACCTATTAGGGAGGAGATTTTGGGTTGCCATTGATCACAAAAGTCTAAAATAGCTACTACAATAGAAGATAATCACAAGTAATCAACAGAATTAGATTGCTAAACTTTTGGGGTACAACTTTGAAATCATATACAAACTTGGGATAAAAAATAAAGGAGTAGATGCGTTGTCCCGAAAAGAAGAGGATGGTGAGCTGAGGACGTTGACATATTTCCTGTATGGTTAGATAGTAAGGCGATAATTGCAAAAGATCATAAAGATGATAAGCTGAAGAAGATGATCCAGCAGCTCTAGAAGGGAGAAAACAGTCCAATTGGGTTTTCCTACAATCATGGGGTCCTATTCTATGATAACAAATTGGTAATATCTGAAAAATCCTCTTGGATTTCAAAACTGGTTGAGGAATATCACACCACTCCACAAGGTCACTCGGGATACTACAGGACTTATAGGAGAATTGTTGTCAATTTGTATTGAAGGGGGGATGAAACGCACGGTCTAACAATATGTGCGATCCTGTGACACATGTCAGTGGCAAAAGTATATGGCAATTTCTCTTGGTGGGTTATTGCAGCCTTTGCCTATTTCGGAAAGAGTGTGGGAAGACATTTCAATGAATTTTATTACAGGTTCGCTGTGATCAAGGTTGTGAGGCTGTTTTTGTGGTAGTAGATAGACTGTCAAAATACTGCCATTTTATTCCACTAAAACATCCATATACTGCTAAGGTATTGGCAAAAATTTTTGTTAAAGAAATAGTGAGGTTGCATAGGGTTCCTAATTCAATTGTGAGCAATAGGGATTAGGTTTTCATGAGTCATTCTAGAAGGAATTTTTCAGATTGGAGGGCACTTCTCTAAATATGAGTACAGCTTACCATCACAATCTGATGGACAAAAGAGGTGGTTAACTGGTGCTTAGAGACTTACTTGAGGTGTTTTGTCGCTGATTAACCTAAGGGATGGTCAATTTGGCTCCCATGGACAGAGTATTGGTACAACACATACTATCATGAACCCACCCAAACCACCCCCTTTGAGGTAGTCTATGGAAGAAAGCCTCCTTCTTTGATTAAGGGGATACAAGGTGAAGTGTCAGTAGAAGCAGTCCAACGGGAATTATTAGAGAGGGATGAAGCCTTGATGCAATTGAAGGAACACTTGCAGCGGGCCCAAGGAAGAATGAAAAATCAAGCTGATCTCAAGAGGTAAGAAAGAAGCTTTGAAGTGGGAGAATAGGTTTTCTTAAAATTGCGACCTCACAAACAGAAATCAGTTATGTCCTGAATCAATGCCAAGCTATTTGCAAGGTATTATGGGCCATTTGAAATTATTGGTCGTGTGGGAGCAATAGCTTACCACTTGAAGTTGCAACAGTCTGAATTCATCTTGTCTTCCATGTATCGTTGCTGAAGAAGGCCGTTTGTAATTACAAGGTGTAACTAGAGCTACCTACTGACTTTGAAGATGGTGGAATAAATGTGTGGATGTCAACAATAGTGTTAGTTTCTAGGAACATTGTCAAGCATGGAGACATGGTCAAACAATGGCTTGTGCAATGGGCTGAGAAACCAGCAGAAGCAGCAACATGGGAAATGCAGTAATTATCCAAAGCCAATTTTCTCATCTCAATCTTGAGGACAAGATTCATGTTGATGGAGGGAGTAATGATGGGGATCAAGGAGAAGAAAATGGGCTTGAGGAGAAAGTAATCCATGAAACTTCAGCCAAGCCCAAGGATTGAATAGTGTATGAGGAAAAGAAAGAAATTAGGAAATGTTTGAGACGTGCTGAGTTGACATAGTTATAGAGAGAGAATAGTTTTTGATATATTAGACGTGTTTAATCATGAGTGAGGGGACACTTTTTGGGTTGGAAGTTGTGGGATAGAGTGTTGTTTGGCTTTAGGTAAGGAGTTGTGCTTTAGGGCATTAGAAGGACCATTCTTCTTCTGCATAGTTTCATTTCGTTTGTTGCCAATAATATAAACTTCTTTTATTTTCTCTTAATATTATTGTTTCTACCCCATATCTTGTTCTGTGATTTTTGGGGTCTGTAACAGGTTGATCTAGTCAATTTGATAATCAAGAAATTCTAGTCCTCTTCAATATTGACCTGAATCAACATTTGCTAATTGTGTTTTGCTCATTCATTTACCGATCTATTAGAAACATTTTTATTATTCGGTCTAACATAAGAATGCTTAATGATGTATGATATATTTAGTCAAAGGATAATGTTTAGTTGTTGCTGTCTAACATAAAAATAAAACAAGAAAGCAGTTGATTTTTTATAACAAATTGTGCCATATAAAGAATAGTTTGTTTTCTTCACTGTCTTCTTTTGTAAGATAGATAGGCTTATAGTGTTAGTGTGTGCCTTGAAGGCCAATTCGATGTTGAACCTCACTAGTGTATATTTTTTATCATGTATATTTAATATATGAGACATTTCATATATCATGTTGTTTAGTTAAATTAAAAATCAATGTAGTAATGTCTTTTATTGTGAATTAAATCACTGTTATAGAACAATATTCTTAAATTTGTGTCAACTATTATTGTGAATTTGTGATTTAGGATGACAACAATGCATAGAAATTAATGTGTAGATTGATTACCATATTTTATGGGTCATATGTTCAAGATATCATGTCTCCACTTCGGCACATATTAAAGGTATGTATTAGATTGGTCCACCATAAGAATATTACATAAATCATAACGTGTTATAAGTGTTTCTTATAGTAATAATCATATACACGGTCTTTTAATTTGATAATTTTGTAAATAGGGGGTTGCATGTTTTAATGTCATCAAATGTTGCTTGTGGTAACATGATTATAAGTTCGGTTATTAGACATACTACCTCATATGCAAAGGGATGTGGTAACCTAGAAGATATTCATTCCTTCTATAGAGGGGGAGTTAATGCAAAATGCATGAATGCTAGCAAAGTGATTGATAGAATTAGTCGTTTAACTAACTGATAATTATAAAATGATATTAAAGAAGGAATTTTGTTACAATAATGAGTGTATATATATATAAAATAAGATTATAAGCTTAAAAGTTGTATGAAGTAGTGTTACAAAATATGATACCAAAATGCTTTAAGTTACTAAAATAAGTTTATTTACCAAATAAGTTTAAAATAATGAACTATATAAGGGTGAAATGCTCCATTCCTTGTAATTGTAATAGTAAAATACGATTTTGGTTTTGCTATCAACATATTAGGAACTTACAAGGTCCCACATTTAAAACAGGCTTAAATTGCAAATTTAATTAATAAGATGGATGTCATTAGGAATCCAATATTACAACTCTTAAGCTTGTTAGGACATTTAGTAAGATTGAGTGGGTTAGCCCAAATTGAAGATTCTTGGTGCACAAGTCTAACTTAAGTCAGATAATGAGTAGGCAATAGCCCACCATAACTCTTTAGGTGAATACGTTACTTATATAAAAGATATATTTGTGCATCATAAGCGAAAAATGCTCTCTCAGAACTCTAGCATCACTGAGGGGGGAGGGAGAGAGAGAGCACGAGGAACACTTTCGATAACTATTATTTTTGTAGTTTAATTTAGATAAATTTTAAGGAAAAAATCATTACTATAAATAAAATACGTGATTCAATTTAGACCAGTTTGAGAATAATATTAAAATCAAATCAATCTTTTTGTGGCTTGAATGATATTTTTTTTCTCAATTTTTTGTTTTATTTTTTTTAAGGGAGACAACTTCAATTTTTTGTTGTTGCCAGTGAAAAAAATTTTCATTGATTAGAGTACGAACAGATCTTTAACCAATACATAAATTCTTTTAAAGACTATTTTTTATTGAATATTTGTTTATTAAATAAAAAATCAACTATATAATAAATGTGAATAAATAATGTCTCGAAAACATTAAATCTCACCCTTAATTATAAGTTAGTCTAAATAATAAATCACAAATAATAAATTATTTTATTTTATTTTAAAAAATACATCCCATAAAATTTATGAGAACCCAAATTCAAACTAAAGAAAATGCAATTTTTTTCAAAATTTTCAATTAATAATTTGTTCGATATTATTATTATTATAATATCTATTTAGATGTGTTCTTTAACATTCCTAATGGGCTAGGCATGATAATGTAAGTACAGGTGGGATATACGAGGCAATCCACCCCACCTCTAATAAGTCTACAATTAAATGGGACAACTTGTATAGGTCTGCATTTTGAATTTACATATGTAATAAGCCCATGTAAGCCTGCAGTTAAACGGGTAGATCTTTGGGTCAGCTTGCGCATTTTTTATTTTATTTTAATACATTAAAATAATTAAGTTATTTTTTAATTTCTAAGATATAAAAATTATAGTTAAACCAGTTGGTCGCTAATGCTGTGGACTTCACACGTTTAACTCACAAAGTACGGGTGAGATTTAAATTGTTTTTTGTTTTACTTGCAGCCTTTCTCATTCTAATCCTAAAAGTCCTGTGAAATGTTATTCTTGGTGTTTTACTATGTAATAATGCATTATTTACTTTGAATGGGAATTTATGGTTAATCATTTTAAATCATATGCAAAAATATTATAACAGTCGAAATTTTAAAAGAATTTTTCCTTTTTAAAAAATAACTTTGATGTGTTTTTTTTTTCCAAAAAAAAAATGTTTCATTGATGAAGGGAGGAAAAAAGATTAATCTCTTTTGAACATTTTTTATATATGTTTATCGCAAAAATCACCTTTGGTTTTGCATTCAGCAAAATATAACTTTTTTAACATATAAATTTCTCAATGGACACCAAGAACTTCTCAATAAATTAGAAGGATACTTCTTGCTTTGATATTGTCATTCAAAAAATGCTTACTAATTATGAGGTATGACAATGCATTAATCGAACCTTCTTCGTTGATAGCAAGCTAGGCAAAGACACTAACGGAGGTGGACATATGTACTGTAATTTAAATTTCTTATAATCATGTGTTATCATTGTCAAATAGACGTATAACTGAAATTATTTCTATTATTTAAAAATTTAATAAATTTATATTGTTTGAGTTGGTTGTCTAACTATTTATATACAAAACAATATTATCAATACTGAATGACGATTCATGACAGAAAGTAAAAAGAAATATCATAAAATTATAGCAGATGCTATGGTGTGTGTATATATATATATATATATATAGGGATGACATCTTCTTACATTAGTATAAATTTAAAAATTCTTACATTCAATTTGAATAACTAATATCTAACGGAGTTATAGTTTATTATTTCACTAATCGTTATATATAAATTAAATAAAAAGTTCATATTAAGTACTAGAGCTTTTAGATTTATTCTAGTATGAAATTTCTTTCACACCCACCTATATATGGAATTTTTAGTCTAATCCACTTGACTAATTAGGTGAATAAGTTGGGCTTGTGAGTCAATGAAATAACTTGTCTTTTTTTTTAAAATATGTTTTTAATATTATTAATAACTTTATTATTTTTTATATAAATTTAATTTAAATACATTTATAATATTAAAAAATTTGCAATATGTAAATTAATTAGTAAAGTTATTTCAACTTAACCTATAATTTTAAATTTAAGTGACAGTAAATACAATTATATTAAATATTTAAAAGAAGAATAAGTCTCATTTAACTCAAACAAAATTATTTTTTTGTAATTAGAATAAAAAATATATAAAAAGAATTACGTAGTTATTCAATATGATATATGTAATAAATGATGTAGAAATCATATATAAATTATATTTTAATTAATTCATAATGTATTTTTTTTTATCTTGAGAATGTGTTAAAATGAAACCTATATATAATATTTTTATATGTTTATTATTAAATAGATTGACTCATTAACCCGCGGACCACCAACATTATTGTACCAGACCAATTGGGTTAGGCCGATTTAATGGTAATTCATCTGAGGTCAATTTTATATTGGCTTAAATTAGCTGATGTACTTAATTCTAAAATATACACTATAAATTATAATTTTTTAACATTTTATCGAATAGAACCGTAACAAAACTTTTGAATAAGTAGTTTTTATCACATCATAATCCAAACGCCCCTTTAAAAAAGCGGCGCCAATCCGGCGCGCGAAATTTAAAAAATTTGACATACATGGTAAAAGAATTTGGAACGAAAACTCGCAAATAGTGGCTATGATGCCATTTTACGTTGTTTTCTTGTCTGATCGCAGCTTGTTGTATGCGTATACATGGATTCAATCCCAAGCCTTGAGAGCTTCAATTCCGAGGTACCAATTTTCCTATTTCCTACATCCTCATCTGGTTTTTCCCTTTATTGTTTTGATGCTGAGAAATTGCTGGAAAATAGTGCGACATTTTTTGCCCCCCTTTTTGTATAGGTCCCAGGTTCCTGGTCCTCGCTTTCGTGCCCTTCTGGTTCGTATTATTTTCTTATCAAAGTTTTGATATATAAACAGAAAATCAACCCCAAAACCTCTTTTGATTTCTGTGTTTTGTCGGTGTGTCTGTTAGAGCCTCCTGATGTGGGGAATTGGTTCTCAAGCTATGAGTATCGCTCTCCCGAACCGGATTCGAATTTTAGTGTCGAAGATTCTGCTTTCAGAGAAAGCGAATCCCATAAAGGTGATGATGATGCAGAAAGGGTCAGGGTTTATGGTGAAGGCGTTGCGACGGGGAGGCTATTCCAATGTAGCAGAACTTGTGTTAAAGAAAATGATCAGAACGAAGACCTTTGCTTGAACAAGGTAGAGCTTATACTCAATTTTTCATTTTTGAATTGAGGGAAGAAAGAAATTCAGATTATTGGTACTTATTGATTTTAGTATTTTTAGGGTTTAGAAATCAAGCTAACAGATGGGGATTTTAGATTTTTGTATCTGATTTTTATTTATTTTCTTTTTTTCCCCTCTGCACAGAATATGGAGTCTTTCAGCTCTAGTTCACTCCTTTCTGGTTTGTACTGTTGGCACACTTCTTTTAGAATTTCTTCTGCAAAAAATAGCTATAATTTGGTTGGCAAGAAAATTTCTCTGCAGTCCTACGTATTCAATTATTTCAGCTTGTGTTATTGGATTCAGAGCCTCCAGACATCGGAAACTGGTTTTCAAGCTACGTTTATGAGTCACCAGTGTCCGATACAAGTAGTCCTTTTAGAGATGAAGTTTCTGAAGAGAATGAGTGTAGGGAGGAAAGGTTGGATTTTGAAGTCGTGAATGACGGTGAATGCAGGTCTGAGAATGTCAACCTGAAAGGGTGTGCTGATCCCAATATCTCTTCTGATAAAAACACCAAGGTAAAGCAAAAGCACCGTTAATGCAGGGTACTCATTCTTGATTTCTCTATTAAAACCTTTCTGTTTTATTACCCAGGGTAAATAACACGTTTACTTGCTACACGTAATTTCTGATATAAGACTGAATTAGAGTATGCCAATAAAAATTTATGCTCAATTTCCCTTAGAAATAGAATGCTTCACTAACAGTTAGCCATTTTTCTTGAACTTTGTTTAACGATAATTAAATTGTTAGTATAGACACTGTTTGTATACGCTAACTAATAGCGTATCAGGTTTTTTTCCTTGTGAAAGGAAGTTTGGTTAATATATGACTCAAAATGTGTCCATTATTTTCCTCCAACTCATCTGTGCTGAGTGTTTTTCTTTGGTGTTGAAATCACAGGGTGATGATAGTGCTGAAATGAAGAAAAATTTAACCACTGCTAATACTGCCGATTTAGAAAAGATTGTGCAGCCATGCATTCAAGAAAAGACACCGCACAATATTCTTGGTCACACCAAGTACGAAGAGACATTGAACCTGAATCAGGGAATTCCTGGTTGTGAGGGACGACATCTAATGTCATTGGATACTGATAGATGTGCAATGAGACCTCCAAAATGGGTACAAAAGAATGATACCAAAGAATCAAAATCAAAAGCTGAAATCCTGCATGACAAGCTTGACTTGAGTGCAAGTTTAGTTAAAACCTCAGCTAGAAGTGCAACTTGTATAAGCAATAAAGAAAATGATGGTTTTGTCACAACAAGGAAGAGCAGTTGCACAAGAGAAAATGATGAAAATTCTTGGAAGAAACCAGAAATGATATTACCAGAGCATTCAGCAAGTGCAGGGACAGTTCTTTTGGCATGTGAAAAGCGTGCTGTTACAAAGAGGAAGGCATTGACAGAAGCAACAAATCTTCAACAATCCAGTGCCATGGGGATAACAGGGAAATGGCAATGCCCACAGAAACATAGGCCTAATGTTGGACCTACTATGAAACAACTTAGGCTTGAGCGATGGGTTCATAGAGTTTGAGAAGATATTATTTCTATTTATATAAAGGTGTAACCCTGATTGACTGACCACTAGACAAGCATTTTGATTGCATTACATATTATTTTCATTCTGTTATTCTAGTTCTAGTTTATTATTGAATTCCTTCACCATTAGATCCATTTACAACAGTGAGAAGGAAAATAAGGTAATCTACTAGCAAACCAAGAATGTATGAGATATTTTAGGAAATAAGAAAAGTACAAATTTTAAAATGATTATAGGGTGTTACTAGTCTGAATGATAAAATGCCTTTATCATAAAATTTATAGTTATGACATTGCAATAGTTATGTGGCTTGGCTATGACGATCAAGATATTAGATGAGTTAAGGATTTCAATTTCAATTTTGATATTAAAAGATTATGTCATTAAAATAAAATTTGAGTTGGGTGATAAAGTTGTAAGGATTTATGTGTATTTGTTTAAAACTAATATATTGGAGTGTGGTGCATGCTAGGCAAGAAAGTAACAACCATACTGAATCAATGTCTATAAAATTTAGTGAGCATTTAATTGAGAAGATATATATTCAAATGTATTTAATTAATTTAAATAAATACAAAATCTCTGATGAAAAATACTTGTGGTTTAGAAAATACAATTTAGATAGATAAAATATTAAATTTTAAAGATAAACAAATAATCCAAAAGTGTGGAGATTTGACATAAAAAGAAAAGAAAATTTAATAAAAAACCACAAAAGTAATTGAAGTTTAAATTTTAGAAAAAGACATAAGATCTTTTCATTGGTTATAAAGATCTAAAATACTCTTTGTTAGAAGTCATCTTCTTATTTGGAGTAATTTTTAGAATTGAGTTAGGTATGGTATCATTTTTAATTCAATAATAAAATCTAACTAAATTCAATATTGAGTTACAAAATATAGTTAACATATTTTTTATAAGACTTGGACAATCTTTTCTCTTAACTTACTTTTTAAAGTTTAATTAGGTCTAAATCATTTTAACACAAATAAAAATTTTAAAACAATTAATAATTTTGATTTTTAAAAATAGAAAAAAATAATGAAATAACTCATTGTAAGAGAAAAATAATAAAGTATATCCTGACATAAGACTTATATTTATAATACGTGAGTTGAGCAGATAATTATTTTGTTAACTTTCTTAACTTAATTAGAAAACTAATGTACTCCTACAACAAAAACATATACGCTCTAAGGAAAGCCTTGACCCTAAGAAAAGCTTTTTCAGTTTTAGGAACATATGTTTTTTTCCTATTAAAATTGTTATTTGTTAGTTGTGGAGAATATGGGCCTGATTGTTGTGGACTAACGGCCCACTAAGGCCCTGCGCAAGACTATAAAAGGATGGCATTGAGAACGGAAGAGCGAGCACTGAGCAGAAAGAAGGGAAATCCAATGACTACATTAGACGAAAGAGCTTCTGCTAAAAGATGGCTTCCTCTCGAAGCTAACCCTGACGTCATAAATCAGGTTATCCGTAATGCCTTTCTATTTTTGCGAATTTGTTATTTTTTTTATGCGATTATGATGGTAACAAATTTTAATTGAGAATCATTTTTAGAGTTTGTAGTTACACTTTTTTTTTTTGGTTTTGGTACTAAAGGCATGCATAGTTAAAGTGTGTAATTGTTTTTGGTTGATTTCAGTTCCTTTGGGGGCTAGGGCTTCCAGCGGATGAGGCAGAATGTTATGATGTTTATGGCTTAGATGAAGAGCTTCTGGAAATGGTTCCAAAACCTGTTATTGCCGTCCTTTTTCTTTATCCCATAACAACTAAGGTTTTTTTATTCCCTCCTACAACAACTCTTTACTTTTTCTATGTATGTATGATTTTTTATTTTCCACTGATTTTGTCAAATTTTACTGTTCTCAGACTGAAGAGGAGAGGTTGCAGCAGGAAAATGAAAATAGGGTGAGTGGACATGTGGTGTGATCTTCTCAACACTTCCCCTGGTTCTAGGAATTGCATGTTTTGTTTGGCAATTAATAGTGTATGTCAAGGTCTCACTTCATGTAGTAAATAGTAGTCTGGTAATTTTTTATTTTGGATAGCATATGGTGTAATATTATTGAACATTAATTATTTAACTACATGCTGTGTGTTCTGGTGCAGGAGTATAACAGTAGAGTGTATTTTATGAAGCAAACTGTGGGTAATGCTTGTGGTACAATAGGACTGCTGCATGCTCTTGGCAATTTGACTTCTGAAGTCAAGCTAGGTTAGTTTTCGACAGCTAACCTCTCTGTTAAGAACTTTCGTGCATCTGATCATTAATTGTCATGTAGTTACTGTTGCTTTTGTCAGTTGAGGGGTCGTTCTTTGATAAGTTCTTTAAATCCACTGCAAGCTTGAATCCATTGCAGGTTACTCCTTCCCACCCTACTTTCAATCTTTCTTTCTTGTATATCGATTTATGCAAGCATAGACAGTGTTGATCAGTTAAAAAGGAATTTTTGTTTTTCAATTCTTAACTTCTACATCATACAGCGTGCAGCATTTCTTGAGAATGACAGAGAAATGGAAGTTGCTCACTCAGTGGCAGCAACTGCTGGTGATACAGAGGTAATTTATTGATTGTAGCATCACTCATTGGGGAATATGTGATATATTATGGAACTGCTATAATCTATGGTTCAGTCGTCTTTTTTTTTTTTTATAAATATAATCCAATGAATTTGGATTGGTTTTGGTCTTCTTGTTACTTGTTAGTTACTATCTTTAGTCTTTGGATGTGTTAAATGATACATAGCCAGTGGTTTTATATAACTTCATTAAATTAAATTAGTAGGTTTCTGTTGTGATGAGTAATCTTGGGAATCTGAGTCTTGGCAAAAGACTAGCAATGTGAATAAAGGAAAGGGCAATGTTGCAAAACTAGGGATTGCTCTGTTCAGGTTTCATGTTATTATGTAACATCTGTGCTTTATACAACTGATAAATGTTTGTAAACCTATTGCATGCCGTTTACCTTTTGAGTTCACGGGAGTAATAATTTTATGAATTTATATTAACATGTTTGAATCAAACCTTGCTTCATAGTTGAATTCATCTACCTTGAAGTTGTATGACTCACACACAATGTTCATGAGGATTTGCTGGGAAAAGGGGGATGGAAAGAGAAGAGGAAGTTTCTTTCTAAATTGAAGATTTAATATGATTCACTTAATATAGTGCTAAGATATATCTTTTTCACTCTCTCGTCTTACCATCTACTTTTTTGTTTTCAATATTTGTAATGCAGGCGTCAGACAATGCAGATGCTCATTTCATATGCTTTGCTTGTGTGGACGGTAATTTCTTTATATAATTGATTCTGCATATATCACAGTAATTTTTTATTTCTTCCTTTTACCTTTTGTGCATTTTATCTTGGACTAATTAATGCACTTGGGGTCATACGCAGATGAACTGTATGAACTTGATGGAAGAAAGTCAGGGCCAATATCTCATGGTCCATCTTCTGCAAGAACTTTGTTAAGGGTAAGTAGGACATTTGTTAAGGCTATGATTGTTCTTTTTTTTGTTTTCTTAAAAGTCTCATGTTCAGGAAACGATCTATTCGTTTTGCATATGCATATATAGAGAAAATGTTCCTTTTATGTTGTTTTCAAATGGCCATGCTTATATAGTAAAGTAGGTCAGGCAATTTGTCTGGACCAAGCATCCACTTTCTTTGGACCAGTTTTATAGGTACATTATGCTTTAAACTTGTTTGGTAATTGAGGCTGGTGACTGTATGCATGAACCATCCAAACAAAGAACATATCCCTCTGGTCCTCAGCCCACCCCTTTCTGCCAGTTGGTGCTACTTTCCTAGTTAGCTATCATCTTTGCATGTGTATTGTGCCCCTGCAGTGCATTCTTGCTGTCAAATTTGGTGGGATTGTGCTGACTTTTGATCATGGCATTTTCAACCCTGCTGGGTTTGTCATCCCGTGTTGAATTGCTGGGTTTGCTCCCATCATATTATATATCGGCTTTCATTATAATCTAAGATACTTTATTATTATTAATTTTAAAATTACTAATTTATATTCAAATTACCACAGGATGCAGCTAAAGTTATACAGGGCATGATCCAGAAAAATCCAGACTCCCACAACTTCAATGTCATTGCCTTATGTAAGAAATCCGGGGAATAAATATTAAGCTTATCTGGTTAGGCTTGTTGGGGTCATGTGTCATGTCGAAGTAAACTATATATCTTTAACTCATAGCCAGTGCGTGTACTTGGATTCTATTTTCATAAGTGATCTAGGACGTAGAGCCTCTTCGATTTCAGATTAATGCGATACGAGTTTCTTGCACGATGAGCCACGTGAAAGAAATTTCAAAGGTAACCTGTCATTTGTAGCGATATGGAATAATTTTCGTCGTATGCTAAACACAGTTCTGAATGGCATCTGCATGGTCCGAGGGACATGGAAGTTAGTCCTTAGAAGGAAGCAAATTTCTGCCAACTCAACTGATTCTTCTGTAATGGCATATGAGGAACTTGTTAATGTCTCGTCCAGAGTAAAGAAGATGCTTCTAGTTCGACAGAATCGTAATAAATTGTTTCGGGCGAACAAATTGAGACACGAGAAATTCATAAATACATTGCCCGAGGTAGCGAAGCGCACTGTAATTTTCATAACTACCCGTATCTTTTAGACGTTGTGTTTATCTTTTCATTATAACATTGAAATTTTAGCGTAAGGAAGTCACCAATATATAACAAGGAAGGAAGCTAAGATGGCATATGAGATTTAGCCTTGCCTTTACAGCATGCCAATACGCAATATACAACCCATTGACCAAAGGAGCCTCTAATAGCATATATGCAAAGAAGACCAGCGATCGTATGGTGCTTCAATAAGAATAATTTTGTTGGCACTTGGTAGTTTGCTGAAGAAGTCGCCAACTTATCAAGCCGATGGAATATTAATTTTGAGAATATCGTTGGGCTGACATTCTCTTTAAATATATGCTCAAATCTGGAAGATAAGCAAATATCCAGACTTGATGTCAATGTCATTTACTCGTCATTATACAAAGAAAAAGAGTTTTGTTAAAGGTTTGAGGATAAGCAACTTTGTGGTACGTTTTACATATTTTATTTTTTCTATTCTACATTTTAGTTGGATTAAATCATACTTTTTTCTTATCTTGTTCTGATATGCTCCTTTTTATTAAATGCCATAAAACATGTAATGCAACTCCTGTTTTCCGTCAACCAGACCTATCTTTTTATCGATGTAGTCCCAGGGATAATGAAAGTTTTCGTGCTAACCTTTCCTCAATAAATCGATTACAAATATGGCAACATAACATATAAGCTTATCAACATTTGAGTAAGGCTAGAAAATAAACTAATAAAGAATAGGAAAAAAATGCAATATGTGTAATAGTTGTACAAGAATTGGAATTGTTACTTAGAACCAACGTTGGAGGCACCTTTCCTCCTGCAATTTGTTTGGCTGAATGGCAGTTAAGACTTAGGATATCGATTATATGGAATAAGGAGGGGGTGGGTTTGGGACTTCAACTAAGCCTTCTAACATTTGCATGACCATCCCCATTGTTGGTCTCATTTCATGATGCTCTTGAATGCACCAAATTGCTATTTTTACCCACTTTTGTACCCTGCCATTGTCAGCCAAGGCATTCTTATCATTCTCCACAAGTGCATCAATTCTTCCTTCCATATAGCAATCATAAGCCCAATCTGTTAATATTGCCTTCTCTTCCTCCCCAGACTCCATCAGCATCACACTTCTTCTACAGCAAATTATTTCCAACAACATCACACCAAAGCTATAAACATCCACTTTAACTGTCACAGGAACATTCTTGAACCATTCAGGAGCCACATATCCTCGAGTTCCTCGAATCATGGTATTGGTTCTACTTTGGTCAGACAACAACAACTTGACCAGCCCAAAGTCAGAGATCTTTGCATTGAAATGTTCATTTATGAGTATATTTTGAGGTTTAATATCACAATGAATGATAGGAGTGTCACACTCTTGGTGCAAGTACACCAACCCTCTTGCAATCCCCAGAGCAAATCCAACCCTTACATTCCAAATGGGTTTGGATTGCCCAAATAGAAACTCTGCAAGAGTACCATTGCTCATGAACTCGTAAACAAGTAGTCTATGGACTCCCTCATCACAAAATCCGATCAACCTTACCAAATTTTTGTGGTAAGTTCTACCAATGGCACTCAACTCAGTCCTGAATTCCTTCTCTCGTTCTTGTGCCAATCTGTCCAATCTCTTGACGGCAACCACATTATGAGTCGCTGCTATTAGTTTGCCTTTGTACACAATGCCAAAGGAACCCCTTCCTAGTTCTTCACTAAAACCCCATGTGGCTTCTTTCAATGCTTCATAGGTAAACGAATGTAAATTTGTTTCCAGAAGACTTGGAGCTTGTACAATCCTTATTGGCTTCAAGACAAGGACCAAAACAACAGTAGCCATGAGTATACTATTCATGACAGTGGAACCAATAAGTAAACCTTGAAGAATTGTCTTAACTCGACCTTTTTTCTTTGAATCAGGACTAGTGGGAGGACCAAGGTTACCCAAAGAGGCAATTCTTGTTTTGATAAGGGCCAATTGACCTCCACTCTGTGCTCTTCCATTAGCAAAGCAATCTTTTCTTCCAACAAGTTTGGTTGTTAAAAATGGCAACATCGCACATGCAATCTTGCAAGCAAGATTGTTGGCAGTCCTGTTGAGAGTAAGGTTTCATCATTTCATAATCTGATAGAGGCCAGTCCACATCCCTAAGAATCTTAAATTCATATATCTCTTCTAGTCGAGCTTTCAATCCTCCATCATTATCTACTCCACAACCGAGGGTAAAATTGGGTTGGCATCCACCAAATTGATTACTAGGGTCCATCAACGAATACCCATCAGGGCATGTGCAAGTAGGCCTCTTATTTTGCATGGAGCAGTAGCTATTATAGCCACAGGAACCACTACCCATGTCATTGAATATTGCAATACAAATGTTATCAGGAACATACCGCACAATTGTCCACCCTTGGTTGGCACTACTAGTGTTCCTTGGATGAGCATATTGCGTGAAAACTCCATTGAAGTCAAGTGTTGTTCTATAGTAATACCCCTTTGGATCAAGAGTTGAGTCACCCCATGCTGAACCTTGAGGTTGGATTCTAGTCCCATTCACTGTCTCTACTAAAATATTCCCTAATTCATCAAAAACTAATCGTGAAGCAGAATCAGGAGTATTAAATCTATAATAAAACTTGTATCGTAGTTGGGTAGGCCATGCAAGTGGGCTCATCTGCAAGATATTAGTACTATCATTACCATCCTGAAAATAAAGTTGGAACCTTCCATTTGTGTAATTGGTATCTGAGAATCTAGAAGTTAACATGCCATCTAGCTCCAAGGTTTGTTTAGGCAACAACGTGTCTGTGGGGTTCTTGAAACTTTCCCACACAAGAGTAGAACTCTTGTTTACAAGAACAAAGTTGCCAGTGTCAAGCATAGCTCCATAGGAAACAGCAACGTTTGGTTGTGCTGTCCATATGGAATCTCCTTCAGGACTTATCAGCATAAGCCCTCCTGATGTGAGTTGAACCTGTGATCCTGTTGGTGCTGTTGTGAGAATTTCATTTGCTTTTGCATTCCAAACGATGGTCTTGTCGGGTATTTTGTCATACCATATAGCAACCATGAAGAGATTTGTGTCATTAAGTTGGCGAAATCCGAAAGCAAACTCACCCGAGGGTGAAAGCCATGCATCTTTGTCATGGGTGGAGAGTGTGGAACTTCGAGTAACGTTTCCAAAAACTAACAAGAACTGAAGAAAGAGAAGGGAATAGATGAAAAGGGTGGGAGAAGCCATGGTTTCTTAGAGAAGTGCTAGAAGATATTCGGGCAATGGCTTTACTTGTATAATTTTAATTAAGACACCAGTTAAAAGAATAAAATGTAAATTTTTTTGGTTAAAAATATTATAATACAATTTCCTTGTGACTTTTAATATAATTTAGCATAATTTTTAATGAAAGATTTTTACTTTCAATTTTTTCACATGAGTAAAGTATACCAATTGAGCAAGTAATTGACAATTAGGGCTAATTAATAGTGACTGAATCAGCTGTACGATGAAGATAGACATGCTGAGGGTAGAGAATTCAAAGAGTAAGTATGATGTTGCATGAAAGGTTGGCAATTGGCATGATTGGATACCGATGGATCCTTAGTAAGAATACTCTGACTAACGTGGCTTTTGGAGAAGCAATAAATAATAATAGAATAATGAACTTGAATGCTGTTCAATTAAAGTGGTGTCCAATATTCAACAAGTGGATGGCATCTTTCCTTATAAGGAATTAATTAATAATTATTCCACTTTAAACGCTGCTGCTTTTCTCCTCCATGGTTTGACCAATTATTTTATTATTCTATCCACTAAGACTTGAAAATTCATTTTTTACGAATTTTAATTGACAAGATCTAATGATTTAGAGTATTTATTGACTCGTTAAAAACGCTGAATAAGTCTCTTCATAAGTTCATAACAATGAAGATGTTTTCTATTTAAATAAATGTGCAAATTACTTTACAATTTTATTTTATTATAGTTTTTAAAAAATATATAAATAAAGTACTATTTTATATTTGTATGTCAACCTACATTAGTCCCGGGAGCTACGACAAAATATTTGGAAATTAATCAAAATTTATTTATAAAGAAATGTTAGTTTTTAATTTTCTTAAATATTTATTTCCGATCGTCCTACTTGTAGTTGTACCCTCGTACTCTAGAAATATTTACTTAAAACGATAGACAAAATTTATTCGCATAATAACTTTTTTACATGATATTCATTTTACTTGAAAAATATTTTTCAAAACTTAATAAAATAAAATTTCCCGTGCCTTTATTTTAAGACTAATATCTATTTATTTGAGGGGTATTTCAATTTTCTCAAAATAAGGTTTTAAGTCTAACTTTGTACAAATAGAAAAGATGCCAATAATTTTTTTTTTCACTTCAATAAATTCACTCAATTCAACTTAAATTAATAGGAACATAAGGACATCAAATCTATAAAATAAAATAAAATCTATAGTACGAAAGTGATGGATTCTTTTTTTTTTGGACGAGAGTAATGGATCTTCTTAAATATATTCAAAACCTCGAACCCACTTGAAAATTGGGCCTCAGTAATACAGATTGCAGAGTGTAAAAATGAATATGTAATTTTAGTCCAGTAAAAAGACTCTGCCTTTGAGCCTATTGCCAATCCGATTCAAGGTTCATAGTTTGCGAGTTAAACAAAAACTGTAAATTAGTCTGAATTGTAATTCTAGAGCTTAATTGTCAAGATCAAATGACAAAAATACCAAATCTAGCAAATTAATAATTATGATAGTTTCCTTTATTAAAAATAAATTTAATTATTAATTCTTGTAATATTTTCATTAAAATTATGCATATTAAATTTTATATAATTTAGATATTATTATATGTATAATCTAAGAAATTATTTATTTATACTTAAAATAATATACTATTTATTAAAATATAGTGAGTAATAAAGTATTAATTAATAATCAAATTGTGTCAACTTTTATAAACTTATTTTACTTTATAAATGTTTTTAACTAAAAGATTAGATCAATTAAGTTTATTTTTAAAAGTAAATTTTATTAAACTCAACTATGAGATTGAAAAAAAAAAACTAATAATAGTAAAGTTTTGTTAAAAAAAAGTATTTATTTTATTTTTATAACTTCAATAAAAAATTTCTAGATACTTAAAATCACACTTAACGAAACTCTTTAAAAATAGTCACATAAGCATTCATTAAAAAAAAGCCATGAAAAAAGTGAGAAAATCGTATATAGATGAATACCAGGGCCATATTTTGGACCATTATTCTTTTGCTGATGGCCATCAATTAACCTAGATGAAAGAATGAGGCGCTGGTGGATCAGGGACTTCAACAAAGCCTTGTAGCATTTCGATGACCAACCCCATTGTTGGCCTCATTTCAGGATATTCTTGAATGCACCAAATTGCTATTTTTACCCACTTTTTTAACCTTCCAATGTCAGCCAAAGCATCCTTGTCATTCTCCACAAGTGCATCAATTCTTCCTTCCATATAGCAATCATAAGCCCAATCTGTTAATATTGCCTTCTCTTCCTCCCCAGACTCCATCAGCATCACACTTCTTCTACAGCAAATTATTTCCAACAACATCACACCAAAGCTATAAACATCCACTTTAACTGTCACGGGAACATTCTTGAACCATTCAGGAGCCACATATCCTCTAGTTCCTCGAATCATGGTATTGGTTCTACTTTGGTCAGACAACAACAACTTGGCCAACCCAAAGTCAGAGATCTTTGCATTGAAATATTCATCTATGAGTATATTTTGAGGTTTAATATCACAATGAATGATAGGAGTGTCACACTCTTGGTGTAAGTAAACCAACCCTCTTGCAATCCCCAAAGCAAATCCAACCCTTACATTCCAAATGGGTTTGGATTGCCCAAATAGAAACTCTGCAAGAGAACCATTGCTCATGAACTCGTAAACAAGTAGTCTATGGACTCCCTCGTCACAAAATCCAATCAACCTTAACAAATTTTTGTGGTAAGTTCTACCAATGGCACTCAACTCAGTCCTGAATTCCTTCTCTCGTTCTTGTGCCAATCTGTCCAATCTCTTGACAGCAACCACATTATGAGTCGCTGCTGTTAGTTTGCCTTTGTATACTATGCCAAAGGAACCCCTTCCTAGTTCTTCACTAAAACCCCATGTGGCTTCTTTCAATGCTTCATAGTTAAACGAATGTAAATTTGTTTCCAAAAGACTTGGAGCTTGTACAATCCTTTTTGGCTTCAAGACAAGGATCAAAACAACCGTAGCTATAAGTAAACTGTTAATAACAATAGAACTAATTAGTAAACCTTTAAGAATTGGCTTAACTCGACCATTGTTGTTTGAATCAGGAGCAGGGTGAAGTTCCACGGTTGCATTAGGAAATAAGTCACGACTAACTCTTGTTTTGATGTAGACAAAACTTTGATTACGGACTTCTTCTCTTCCATTAGCAAGGGGAAATCTTTTCTTAAAACAAGTGTTACCGCCTAAGATGGCAGCAGCACACTTGCAATCCTGCAAGCAAGATTGCTGGCAATCCTGTGGAGAGTAAGGTTGTAACTTTTCATAGTCTCCCGAAGGAAAATTAAAATCTCTCGATTCATACATGTTGTATAGTTCTTCTGGCCGTTCTTGAATATCCGCTCCACAAACGAGGGTGAAATTGGGTTGGCATCCACCAAATTGATCACTTGGATCCACCAACGAATACCCATAAGGGCATTTGCAAAGAGGCCTCTTATTTTGCATGGAGCAGTAGCTATTATAGCCACAAGCACCGCTACCCGTGTCACTGAATATTGCAGTGCAAATGTTATCAGGAACATACCTCACAATTGTCCACCCTTGGTTGCCACCTGTGTTCCTTGGATGAGCATATTCCGTGAAAACTCCATTGAAGTCAAGTGTTGCTCTATAGTAATACCCCTTAGGATCAAGAGTCGAGTCACCCCATGTTGGATCTTGAGGTTGGATTCTAGTCCCATTCACTGTCTCTACAAAAATATTCCCTAATTCATCAAACACTAATCGTGAAGCTGAATCAGGAGCATCAAATTTATAATAAAGATTGTAACGTCCTTGAGTAGGCCATGCAAGTGGGCTCATTTGCAAGATATTAGTGCTACTAATACCATCCTGAAAATAAAGTTGGAACCTTCCACTTGTGTAATTGGTATCTGTGAATCTAGAAGTTAGTGTGGTATTTAGGTTGAGAGACAGAGATTGGTTAGGCAACAACGTGTCAGTGGGGTTGTTGAAACTTTCCCACACATTATCAGAATTCACGTCTTGGAGAACAAAGTTGCCGGTGTCAAGCATAGCTCCGTGAGAAACAACACCTTGTGGTTTTGCGGTCCATATGGAACCACCTTCTGGATTTATGAGCGAGAGCCCTTGTGATGTTAGCTGAACCTTTGATCCGGTTGGTGCTGTTGCAAGGTTGTAATTTGTTCTTGCACTCCAAACAATGGTCTTGTCGGGTATTTTGTCATACCAGATGGCAACCATGAACATGGCTTGCTCCGTAGCATTAAGTTGGCGAAACCCGAAAGCAAATTCACCCGAAGATGAACGCCATGGATCATTGTCGTTGGTAGAAAGTGTCGTATTCATATTAACGTTTGCGGAATCTGACAAAACAGCATGAAACACAAGTGGGAGAACAAGGAGGTTTAGGACAGCCATCGATTCCTTCAGAAATACTGCTGCTTAATTTTGGGAAACGTGCATCCCTATTTTAGACGCTGTGTTGTACATATAGCGTCCGTTAAAACGTTCTTTCGAGGAACGTGAGTGTGAATTCCAAACAGATGAATACACACAGTGATTGACTATACTATTCTATGATTAAGAAAGACTATGAATAATATTTAGCACGCAGTTTTCTTCAAGGAGAAAGAGAGAATGAAAATATAAAATATACCATGAATAATGTGATGAAAACAAATTTAAAATAGATGTCAAAAAAGTTTAAAAATATGATTTTATTACATTCACTCCTTAACCATCCAAAATTTTTATGAAACTTAAAATTTATATATTTATCAAGGCTATGTTTGAATGAATTTTTAAATAAATTCTTATAAATATATATATATATATATATATATATATATAATAATTTTTTTCATAAGTTAAAAACAATTAATCTCTTAAATTTAAGAGGAGTTAAATAAAATATTTTTTTAAAATTTCTTAAATAATAAAGAAGTTATTATTTTTAATTTATGAAAAAATTATTAATTTTTTATACTATTTTTTTTCAAAGATTTTTTTAGAAGTTTGTCTATATAAAGTCTAAATTAAAATTATAAGAGTAACTACTAATTCAAACAAGATAATTTCCAGTGAAAAATACTTGTAATTTAGACCAAAAAAATTATATAAATAAAATAAATATTTCTTTTTTAATAAAATTTATTATTATTGTTATTAAAGGTTTAGGTTACAAAATCCTAAAAATACAAGAGTTAAATGATTAAAAATTGACATCATATTTATTTTCCCTCTTTTTTTATGTTGACATGTTTTAGAAAGATACTAACAAAAAACTCACGAAATTATTTAAACCATTCTAACATTTTTGTTGACCAGAATGCCTTATTATTTGTTAAGTAAAAATTTTGTGCACTATTAAAGTGAAATAATAAAAGTTTTAATTTTAATTTTTGAGATATATTTTTAAAATACATATACCGAAAAGATATAGATGTTGTCATTAAAAAGTTAAGTGCACATTAATTTTTTTCACACTGTCACAGATAGTATATTTTAAAAGAATGATGATTATTAAATAAGTAGAAGGAGACGTATCATTTAGAGAAACCCAGAAAGCAAAATGGCCGAAAGGTCAATGCTATGTATCATCATATTGTCATTGGGGGAAAGTGCGGAACAAGGATTAACGTCTGCGAAAACTAACGATGCATGAACAAAGACAAGTTGTTGACCAAAAGAAATGAAGACAACTGGGGGATTTATATGGTTGTGATCCCTATCTTGGGTTTGTCCTTTGAAAAAACAGATAATGAACAGACCAATTATATGCTTTGGCATGTGGTGATTTGTTTTTCGTAATTGAAACGTACCTAATGTAAATATAATGGATTTGATTAAGATTTGGTCTTGATTTTCTTCAAAGTTGAATAATTTAATATCATGATTCATTTTTTGATTGGTGTATTAATTCTTTAGAGTGTTTGAAGTATTTCTGATGGCTAATTAATTTTTTACCATATATGGCCTCATTGTTTTTACCAAGTTTTTAGGATTAAGAACTGTTCTTCTTTTATTAGATGTGTCTCGTAAAGTATATATAGTTAATCTTAATTATTAATTTTATTTCGTAACACGAACTATATTAGATCAACTTCTATCTAAATAGCTCTTAATTGAATTAAACATCCTTATGTTTCCTTGATAATATTCTTTGACTTAATTTTTTTTTCAAAAAAGGGCTTAGGCCATGCTTGGGTTCCTTGAGAAATGACTTCATGGGCACATACTATGTAATATACTTGACATGCAATAGTAACATTAAAACAATTAGAAGAATGGAGATAGTGAAGTGATTGACTACAATGTACAGTAAGATAAAAACTTGGAAGAACCTAGCTAACATGTTGACGAGTGTGCCAAGATGCAATTTTTCTTATACAATTCATATTTCCTCCACATTTGTTACTTTCATATAGGAATGAGTTGACGTTTCAATTAAGAAAAATGTTGTTCATACTCAAAATAATAATAATAATAATAATAATAATAATAATATATTTTAAATGTAAATAACTTTACTCTTCAAGTAATTGCGTTTACTTCGTGTTTAAAGAAGATACGTCGCACATAATTTTTTTCAAAACAAAAAATTTATTTTCTTTGCCTTCATGATTGACCCATTATTATATGTAGTGTATTACTCCTTTTTCACGGGTAAGAATAAATAATCATCACTATTTGCTTAATTTTTTATTTATTTTTTTCAATCAAAATGAGATAACATTCAAAAGCATTGTTTTAATTTATTTTTTTTTTAATTTTGAATTTCACCTTAATCGTTAACACTGGCCATTATTATAAATTTTTAGTATGCAAATTATTAAAGTAAAATTTTAATTTCAACTAAAAAATAAATAACTCAATTTAAGTTTTACCCTTCACTCTTTAATATTAACATAATTTTATTTTTTTTACTTTAAGTACACAAGAAACAATTCAATTTTTATTTGTAAAAGAAAAACAGTGATTGACATGGTATGAATATATTACTATTTTGATTTTATAAATAAATATTTAATCTAAATATTTTTATATTTTCAATTAATTAAAATCACTGTAAACATAATCTGTAAAATAATTATTATTTAATGATTTTTAATTATATGACATTGTAAGATTACATGACAGTCTTAAAAAAATTTATACTGTTAATATATTAAAATTAAATTCATAATTAAATATTTACACTATAAAAATGTAAAACACAAAAATTATTAATAAAATTTGAAGGGTATCATTTTTTTCTATTTTTGTCAACGGTTCACAAATTTAAAGTTTACTTTTTTGGTTAATTTAAAGGTTATTTAAACCAATCGCTTTGGACTGGACTATAAGCCTTTTGGGTTTAATTGGGTGACAAACCACTCACTAACGAAAGAAGTCAACTCGCACGGGCCTAGACACCCAAGGCCTACTCTGTTATTTTTCTTGACAAAAAAGCAATATATATATATATAAACTACTCTTTTTTTGTGGGTTGATAACCACAAGAATTACTCAAAAACAATCAATTTTTTTTATGAAAAAAAAAAGAAATAAATTATACTTATACATTATTTTAATAATTTTTTAAAAAAGTTTCACTTATCTAAAACAATTAAAGGAAAATTACACAGTTTAAGTGAATTGGCCCTCAAGGTATGGTGATAGCTGCTCCGATCACTTCATTGCACAGTAAACATAAATTTCTAATTATTAAAATATGTTGGTCTATCAAATAAATGAAATAATCAAGCTGATGAATAGCAATTTCCAAAATACCCTGGACTTGAAATATTATAAAGATTTAAATATATCTTTAAATTCTATAAAAAAAATTACTAAATTTAGTTATGGCTCTTCAATCATTTTTTATAAATTTTAATTTTCATAAATTTAGTTATTTTTTCAAAAAACTAATTATTTTTCTTACTTATTAATGATATAACATTATATATATATATATATATATATATATATATATATATATATATATATATATATATATATATATATATATATCTGTGTGTGTGTGTCAAATTGCAACAATTACTAGTGTAACATGTCTAAATGTATGTTATGTTGTCATTAAGTAAAAAAAAAAAGGATATTTTAAAAATTAAAGAAATTAATTTAAGCAGTACATGTTTGATTTTTCTTTTAGTAAGGTCTTGAATTTGAATACTGTGAATGGAAAAATCTCCACTGAAAGAATTTCTAGAAAAAAATCATTTCAAAAAAAAGAGTTTAAGTTTGATATAATGTCAAGGTATCCTAATTTACTTTTTTTTTTAAAAAAAGAAGAATTAAAAAAAACAAAATTAAAAGAATATTTAATTATATTTACATGATATTTAACCCTATTTTAAATTTATTTTACAACAAGATCCTGAAAATTAGAAAGATTTGAAATGTCAAAGAATTTTAAATTATAAAAATTTTAATAAAATTTTTTAATAGACTAAAGTTAAATAATTCTAAATCTTAACAAAAGAATAAGAATTTAGAATTACCTTTTCTTTTATTTAGTGTGTGTTCCATTCATATTTTTATTTAATTATGGTTAATTTATTAATTTAAATTTCATATTTTTAATTAATTTTTCAAATATAATGATAATTTAATTAATCTATCAAAATAAAAATTTAATCATTTTATTCAAAAAAATATTTTAAATAATAAAAATTTAAATTTTTTAAAACTTTAAATTACTTGTTACTAAACACAATAGGTTTAAATAAAAACCTGAAAATATTCGTGCTAACTGAGCTTTCTTCCAACGCAATGATTCCAAATAAGACAACATCTTGCACGACATAGAAACGATAATTTATTAGAGTACAGGGATACCCATCATGTAGGAAATAGAGAAATAAGAAATGATAGGATAAAATAACAATGCATGGAGTAAAATTGCACAGGAATAGAAATTGGTGCATTGGACCCAAGTTGATGCTAGTGGCTACAACTTCTCCCAAATTCTTGAGCTGGATGGTAGTTCAAATATCAGTAAAAGGCGATGGTGCATTAGGGATTTCAACCCCACCTTCTAGCATTTGGATGACCATTGATGCTCTTGGATGCACCAAATTGCTATTTTTACCCACTTATCTAACCTGCCAATGTCAGCTAAGGCATCCTTATCATTCTCCACAAGAGCATCAATTCTTCCTTCCATATAGCAATCATAAACCCAATCTGTCAGTATTGCCTTCTCTTCCTCCTCAGACTCCATCAGCATCACACCTCTTCTACAGCAAATTATTTCCAACAACATCACACCAAAACTATATACATCCACTTTAACTGTCACGGGAACATTCTTGAACCATTCAGGAGCCACATATCCTCGAGTTCCTCGAATCATGGTATTGGTTCTACTTTGGTCAGACAACAACAACTTGGCCAACCCAAAGTCAGAGATCTTTGCATTGAAATAGTCATCTATGAGTATATTTTGGGGTTTAATATCACAATGAATGATAGGAGTGTCACACTCTTGGTGTAAGTAAACCAACCCTCTTGCAATCCCCAAAGCAAATCCAACCCTTACATCCCAACTGGGTTTGGATTGTCCAAATAGGATCTCCGCAAGAGTACCATTGCTCATGAACTCGTAGACAAGTAGTCTATGGACTCCCTCATCACAAAATCCAATCAACCTTACCAAATTTTTGTGGCTAGTTCTACCAATGGCACTCAACTCAGTCCTAAATTCCTTCTCCCGTTCTTGTGCTAACCTGTCCAATCTCTTCACGGCAACCACCTTACAAGAAGCTGATTGTAGCTGGCCTTTGTAAACAATGCCAAAGGAACCCCTTCCTATTCTTCTCTAAAACAGCATGTGGCTTCTTCCAATGCTTCATAAGTAAATGAATGTAAATTTGTTTCCAAAAGACTAGAAGATTGGACTTGCACAACCTTTTCTATAACTTTTGGCTTCAAGAGAACAAATAAAGCAACCGTAGCTAAGAGGATACTGTTAACAACAAGGGAACCAACAAGTGATACTATAAGGATTGGCTTTGCTCGATCTTCTTTCTTTGAATCAGGAACTTCCCTCACTTCTCCAACATATAATTCCCGACTAACTCTTGTTTTGATGTAGACAAAATGACGATCACTGACTGTTACTTTTCTTCCATTAGCAAGGGGAAATCTCTTCTTCCAACAAGTGCCAGAACCTGTAATGGCAACAGCACACATGCAATCTTGTAAGCAAGATTGCAGGCATTCCTGTAGAGTGTAAGGTTCTATCTTTTCACAGTCTCCCAAAGGAAAATTAAAATCTCTTGATTCATGCATTTCATATAGTTCCTCTGGCCGTGCTTGAATATCACTTCCACAAACAAGGGTAAAATTGGGTTGGCATCCACCAAACTCATTGCTTGGATCTACCAGTGAATACCCATAGGGGCATTCACAAGTAGGCCTCTGATTTTGCATGGAGCAGTAGCTATTATAGCCACAAGAACCGCTACCATATTCATTGAATATTGCATTGCATATATCAGCAGGAACATACCTCACTATTGTCCAACCTTGCGTGGCTTTGGGATCCCTTGGATGAGCATACTGAGTGAAAATTCCATAGGAATCAAGTGTTGCTCTGTAGTAATTCGCCTTAGAATCCATAGATAAGGTAACCCATTTCAGATCGTGAGGTTGAATTCTAGTACCATTGGTTGTTTGTACATAAATTACCCCCGATGTATCGAACACTAATTGTGAAGCATTGCCAGAGGCATCAATTACATAATAAGAATTGTAACGCGATTGTGAAGGCCAAGCAAGAGGACTTAAAACCACGTTACCTTTATCAAAATAAAGTTGGAACCTTCCACTTGTGTAATTGGTCTCTGAAAAACGACAAGTTAGCATGTGGTTTTGCTCGACAGACAGAGATTGGTTAGGCAACAACGTATCTGTGGGATTGTTGAAACTTTCCCACACATGATCAGAATTCACGTTTTGGAGAACAAAATTGCCAGTGTCAAGCATAGCTCCATCGGAAACAATGGCTTCAGGCTTTGCCGTCCATATGGATTCTCCTTCAGGACTTATCAGAAAAAGCCCTTCTGAAGTGAGTTGAATCTTTGACCCCGTTGGTGCTGTTGCAAGGTTGTAATTTGTTTTAGCACTCCAAACAACGGTATTGTTGGGTATTTTGTCATACCAGATAGCAACCATGAACATGCTCGTGTTGTTCACTTGGCGAAACCCGAAAGCAAAATCACCATTAGGGGAACGCCATGCATCACTGTTGTTGGTGAAAAGCGTAGAACCAAGATTAATGTCTGCGAAAACCGATGAAACATGAAGCAAGACAAGTGTACGGAGAATGAGGGTTAGTGCAGTAATGGATGCTCAATTGTAAATGTTTGTTTATCTGTTGATGACTTCAAACTTAATTTCACCTTTTCCACACTGGAACTTTAACATGTTCTTAACCTCGCATGACAACGTGTTGTAGGGAGTGTGTGATAAACACGGCAAGGACTAAGAATTTGGCTGTGCAGTACAGATATTTTCTACATCATCAACGGTTATGGTGGCGTTTTACCTCACATCAATTCCACAACTAAAGCAAAATGTTGGTTGAATTTTTAATATTTATAATATATATTTTTAAAATGTATTCGTATACATGTAATAAGAAATGAAAAAATATAAATAATTTAATAATCAAAATGTTAAAATATTTAATATTATAATTATATTAATTACAAATAAATAATAAAATTTACTAATGAAAAATATAAATAATTCATGTAATTATGAATGTTACAAAAGATAATTTTAAAGCCATTCATTTAAAGTAATTTAATATTTAAATTTTAAATGTAAAATAATAGTGGAGACGCATTGACTAATTCGTTGAGTCGTTAAGAAATCTGAACCAGTCTCTTCACGATAATTATGATTCTCTCTTTTCAAATAAATGTGACAGGTCCAGTTTTTATTTTAATATAATATTTAAAAAATACCAATAAAGTACTATTGTTGTATTTATAATTCAATCCACATTAGCCCATTCTCCAAGATAAGGAAATTAATCAATTTTTTTAAATCGTTAATTTAAACTTTCTTAAAATATTTATTTCAGATCGTCCTATTTGCACTGTCATACTCTTGAAACGTTTGATTAGACAAAATTTCTTCATATAATTACTTTTTTACATGATATCCATTTTGCTTAAAAAATTGTAAACGGAATCGGATTAGTTTTTTTAATACGGAAGAAACATAATAACCAGTTCTATTCTTATTTAAACAAAAATATAGAAAATAATAAAAAAAAACTATAAAAATTTGCTTAAGACCATTTAAAATGAAAGAATGATTAATTCTAAATCTCTAAAAAATCAACTCCTAAACAAAGTTTAAGCAAATTTTGTGTAATATTTTTGTGTTGTTATTTTTTACTTTTTCGTTTAAATAAATTTTTTTTTTGTTTAAATAAAAAATAATCGAATGTTGAATTTTTACCGACTGAATAAAAGATTTAATATAATTTTTTTATGTCTCTATTTAAAAATTAATATCTATCGATAATTCAATTTTTTAAAAATAAAGTTTGTAAAAAAAAGAAAAGAAGGAAATGAGGTTTTATATTAATTTCTCTTTTTTTTTTTACTTACTTTTTAAATATTTTCTTTTGCTTTTTTTTTAATACTCTCAAACAAAACTCAAGTGAATTTTATATAATTACTATTTTTTATGAAAAAGAAGGATAAAAAAAGAGAGTAGGTGGATGTAAGAAAATCAAGTGAGAGGCTAGGTGGATTTGGAAGGAAGTGAAAAGTTGGATAAGTATAGAGATTCAGATCCCTTCATGTTTGATTTTGAAAACTCATTTAAGCGAAAGTAAAAAAATATGCGAACATACTGTTATGTTCGAAATCGAACATGAGAAGATCTTGGCGCTGAGTATAAGGAGAAGAAGAGAGTTTGGTGGGGGTGGAAAAGTAAGAGAAATTTACTTGTTTAAAAATTTATAGAAAGAAAAAATGAAATAGTTTGAATAGAAAGAAAAAAGAAAGGAAAGTTAACCTTAAACCATTAAATTGAAAGAACTTATAAACATGAAATTAAAAAGATTTTTCAAAGTTTATAAATTTTTATCTTTTTATCTAAAGCCTTATTTCTAAATATAGCTAAACATTATATAAATCTTTCAATTCCTTTTTTTCTCTAAAAAATATATTCTCAAACAAAGCTTAAACAAATTTTGTATAATTTGTTGTCTTCATTTATTTCATTTTTGTTTAAATAATTTATTATTTTTTAAACAAAAATAAACTGAATTTCAATTCTGCCACAGCCAATAGATTTAATATGAATTTTCGGTGCCTTTATATTAAAATTAATAACAACATGAGGACATCAAATCTATTTAAAATATAAAATCTAAAATACGGACGCGATGGATCTTATAGGTATTTTTTTTTCATTGGTTGATTTTTATTTTTTATTTATCATTGATGGATCTTCTTAAATATATTAAAAAGCTTGGAGCCCCGTAAAAGTGTACGCTTGATAATTGGGCCTAAGTGATATAGAGTGTATATTTGTTTTTGTTGAAATATAGAATATGTCTGGAGGTCGTTTGTTTAGTTTCAAGTGGCCCAATCACTTAGTTAAATTAGCAGGCTTTGGTGTCATTATATGGCAAGATCAATTTTGAAATTATTTTTTCATTTAGTCCAATAAAGAAGACACCACGGTTCTATGGTTTGAAAGCTACCTTAGCCTGGATTGACTGGCAAAGTAAAATTAACATGTTTGCTTTCAAAAGGTGTCCAAGGCTTTAAATTACGTTAGCTTTGTCATTAATTTTCTAGATGCAAATTCTAAAATGTTAATGTCAATTTCATCACCTAAGGAAGGAGTTTTGAATTTAAAATCGGCTTATATTTGAAATATTTGGAAGCGCAAGTGGAGTGGGGGATAACGAGTGCATGGTTCATGCAATCCAATTCACAAATTCATAAATGTTGAGCCAAAAAATAACAAATCTTGTATTCACAAAACATGGACCCGTAATTACTTTTTCCCAATTGTTTTTGTTTTTGGATAATCACTCCCACTTGAGTCCCCATCTCAATCCAATTTTCCACTGTGGCATTGTCCTCTCTTTTCTTTTGGGTGTATTATTTTTGTAACAGCTTCCAAAAATTAATGGGAGAGTGGCACAGAGCCACTACCACACGCATCCCAGAATCAGATAACAACAAGTGGATTTTATAAAGCGTACAAGCACCATGCATTCCACGTCAGCACTACGCATTAGCTGACCAATAACTGTTCTCCACGTGTACACTGTGCCACTTGACTTCCCACTTGCCCCGTTTTCAATCCAACTTGACCCATCACCGTTGCCCCCACCATTTTCTTTCTACGCTTCACCGACGACACACTCTCCGACGACGACGAAGGCTCCGGCGATGACCGCTTCGACGTCACACGAACCGGGTCAGGTTCGCCCGAATTGACCCGAAGCGGAAAGTTCAATAGAGCCCGCGAGCCGCGCATTCGGTACGCGGCTCGGTCATAAGCCAGCGCGGCGTCCTCGGCCGTTTCGAATGTTCCGAGCCAAACCCGAGCGCCATTCTTAGCCGGGTCACGGATCTCAGCCGCGAATTTGCCCCACGGCCGTTGCCGTACGCCGCGGTAATGTTTCCCTTTAGCCGGAACCGCCGCCGGCGCAGCCTTCTCTTGAGGAATCACCGGGGAGACAAAGACGGGTTCCGGCGCCGGAGAAAGGTCCGGTTCTGATTTAACTGTCTCCACCGGCAAAAAACCCGACGAGAAACTCTCCGGCGACCCAGCGTCGAGAGATGGGACCCAGCCAACGTTGACGGCGTCGCGAAGCACACCGTAAAGTAACATGTCCTCTGAATCGTCTTCCTTAAGTGGAAGTTCACCCCAATTTTCACTCAAGCATGGGTACAAGTTGCTGAAGCTGGAGCTCCGACAGTAAATTGGAGTGTTACCCGAATTAACAGACGGCGCTCCGAATCTGCATACGTCGGAATCGCCGAGTAAGTGGCGGCGAATGGAGTCCAACAGGGCCAAATCGGACTCATAGGTACTCTGTTGATACATTTCGTAACCGTAATATGTTTCCGTCTTATGTAATTGGGGTTCGTTTGTGTTCATGCGGTGTCTATTATGTTGTGCCGTGTAGAGAGAAGAGATATAGATAAGAAAATTTAAAATGGGAAGGTTCTGAATTGAATATTCGAAGTTGGAAGGGAAAGAGGATGGGGGTATTTATAGAAGTGCAGGTTCATGAACTTGGATGATAAACTTAAGATCACTGGACTTTAGATAATTTTTACTTTTCCAAATGGTTTATGGTTTCGGGTTTAACTTTAATTCTGTGATTATTAGTTTATTGTTATTGGTCCCGTCCCTAGCTTCTTCGAAGGTTCTCATTCGTAACCTGCAAGGTGCAAGTTGGGTGGGATTTATCACGTGCTTATTTTTCCCCATTTTTTTTAATTAAATATTTCATCTGTGACGTCATTCGTCTTACAGGCGCACACAACTTGCTTCTTGTCTGTTTCTCTCCCTTTTGTCGTATTCTCTGTGCCGCAAAATCGCCCAGAAAAGTCTGCTTCTATTCTTTTTTTTTTTCTCTCTTAAAAAAATAAATATTTTATAATTAGGCATTTTAATAAAAAAAATTGTACGTCAGAAATGTACCATTGCACATTTGGAATTAACAGCAGGCGTATAGTTAAGAATTAAATTGTACATATTATAAAATAAATATAATTTTGGAAAAGAAAAGAGAAGAAATATAGAGAGAAAGGCATGGTGAGGAAAGTGGCGAGTGGGGGTGAGAAGAAAATGATGGGGTATTGTTAATAGAGATACATCGGTTGTGGACATGTTTGGTGAGCTTTGGAATTGGATTGTGGATAAGTGTCTTACAAAGTCAATAACCCCCCATTAACCTCCCTTCGCAGGAGGAAGGACCCACCTTCTTTAATTTCCATTTCACTGTAACCTTTTTTAATGTTAGTTCCAGGAAGGTGGTACATGACAATCACCCCAACCCAACCCATCCCACCCCACAATTCCCAAACCATAAATCTTAATCCTACAATTAAATTAACTTCTATATGTGTGTGATTAAACAAGCAGTATAATCAAGCAAGATAAAATAAATTTTTATTATAAGAAATTATTCTGAAAATAATATTTTTTTTTCACAAAATTTCACTCTTTTTGACATTTTTAGCATATTTATAATTGATTTTGAATATATTTAAAAATCGCGTTGATATAGGAATTACCATTGACATTGTTAAAATAAATAATTAAATATACATCTGTGGCATTTTGCATTTCCCTCTTTGCAAAGATGATAAGGTGCGAGTCGTGCCAGTAAATTCTGTCTTACTCATTGAAGTCGCTTTCAGTAAACAACTCGGTTGTGTTTATTTAATAGATTTTTATTTTATAACAGTTTGTTATAAGTTTTTTTTCCCCATCAAACAAGGTTTATATTTAAAAATAATAATTTATAAAAATTATTTTATAAAATAGTTTTCAAAAACCAAAAGCTAAACACATTCAAACGGTCTTCCTCGTCGCTACAAAAGCATATTTTGTTGTTTAAAATTCATATTTTATTAATCAATTTTGTCGATATTAAATTTTAAACATTTAAAATTAATTAATTTTTTCAAATATTTTATACTCTATATTTTTATGTACTATCTTTTTATCAATATTTTAATTATATTTTTATCTTTTATTTTATTAAAAAAAAGCTATTTATCATAGAATTTAAACATTATTTATATACATAAATATTATTATCTTTTTTTACTTTCACTTCCTCAATAGTTTCATTTTTTATTTTCTCTCTTGTTTCTTTTGTTCAAATGTATTTTGTATATTTCATGTTCAAACCATAATAATCAATCCTGATAATATTGCAGAACAATCTACTCCAAAAATATTATAATAAGATAACAGAATGGCCATTATTTTAAAGATAATCAAAATAAAGAAGAAAAATAGATTAAAAAGTATTCAATCACTAGAAAATATTCTAATGCAAATAGTCTGATGGAAAAATATCTCACTACTATAAAAAGAAATTAGATCTCATTGAAAATATCTTGAGTTACGCTGTAGATGAAGAAGATAACTGAAAAATATCTATGCTCATGTTAGAAATAAGTTGAATTTTGTTAAAGATAAAAAAATTATTTGAATTTAGTTGAAAATGATGATTTGCACCAGAAAGTGATACAAAAAATAGTGAACAAAATAAAGAACAAAAAAGCACAGATGAAGGTAAGGTTCAAAACGAAAGCAAGGTTCCAACTTTCAAAAATATAAGAGGAGATTGGGTGAAATCACAAGATTTGCCCCTTAAAATACATTCCATCTTTTAGAATGGGAGAAAAAACTTGTCTTTTTACACTTGTTGACATATTAAAAAAAGAAAAGGAAAACGAAAGAGAAGAAATAAAAGATAAAACCTTAAGATTTCTCCTCTTAAAAAGCATTCCAACTCAAACTTGCCCTTTTGCCCTAAGATGAAATAATGGCCGCTAAAACCATAATTAACTCCATTTTTTGCCACAATTTGCGGTGCAATAGTCGCTACACTAAAACGCAATGACAGTAACAACACACTACTGCTGCGCTTTGCACCTTCACAATAGCCTATGGTTCAAACATATTTAATTTTTTTATATATAATTATGCAACTAATTAAATGATTGATAATAAATAAATAAAATAAATAGTATTTAATTTTAATATTATATTAATATAATATTAAATATTTTTAAATAATTTAATACAAATCAATTAATTACCCAACTAATTTATCAAATAATTTTAATTTTATAAGATATCTATGCAACTATAAGTTTTATAGAAATTACAAACTCACAAATTTCATTTTATTTTATCAGACATAACTTTAATCTATATTCTCTGATTGCCGGATTAAAACACATTTGCAATTAATAAATAATTAAATAATAAATGGAAAAAATCCAACAAGTTAAGATCTATTAATTTTGATGAAAGGATTTTTTTTTTGTATTGCAGATATAAATAATTATCATCCATAAGGGGAAAAAAGTGCTACATTTCTTGACGTTGATTCTTGCATATAAGATTAATAACTGGAAAAGTGTAATACATGATATTAAATATATAATGAAAATTTTAATTTTATATGAAAAATATTTCTTACAACAAATTTTTATAATAATATTTACAAATTTATAATTTTATTTCTATTCTATTTTTATTTTAAAAATTTATAAATTTATTACAAAAATGTTTCAGTTTTTGTTCCGATGCGTCAAAAGTTAGCGAAACTATTAATGGATAACAGTAACAATGAGGGGAAAACAGCGAAGGAAAAAAAAGTGTAAGAACATAGAAAATAAAAAAACGTTGAAGAACAATTTTATTTTTCTTTATCCTTTTGTGTCTGTCAATGTATAATTCTATATACAGATTACATAATTAATTTAATCCACCAGTTGATTTTTCAGTCAATTTAAAACAGTTGCCTATTTAGTTAACTTATTTAGCTTTCTTTCATGCAGTTACTTTCTAGTCAGAGAGATTAATTTCCCAGTAATTTATTGAGTTTCAATGCACACGTCATGAAAAGAATTTACACAATATATATATATATATATATATATATATATCTTCTCTCTCTCTCTCTATATATATATATATATATATATTATATGTGTGTGTATAATTTATCATCTCCCAATCACAGTATGAATGCCTATGTGTTAGATGATCATGAGGCACCTGTGCATACGAATGTTTGAAAATATCCAATCATGTCTTCATTTGTAAAATAAGACAGTATCATATCATTTCTATTTACGCTGTGAGTGCAAAACAATTGGAGATACATGTAATGAGCAAATAGTTCTACATTTACAATAAGAATTTTGTAATATTTACTTAACTTTTGAAAACAACGGTCTCAAAATTGAATAAAACATTAAATAAAATTTATATTTAATGTAATCAAATTATAAAAAAAGCATTTAATACTTTTCTAATTTAATAATTTAAAAAGAATATTCGTGGCAAAGAGTTCAACTTAGGGACACCGAACCTTTGAAGCTGACCGATGACCACAACAAAGTCGGACATAGGACTTTGACTTGAAAATTCTTATTACTGTTACTGTTATTAGTGAAGTATCTGCTTTGGGTCCACATCCCATTACAAACACGTGCGTATCACCTTAATCTTTGAGTCTTCTTTTCCATCCTATCTGTTTATTAATAAAAGAATAATTATGATTTTTTTAATTATAAATATTTTCACTAATCTCTTAAAAAAATAAAAGTATTTAATATAACAATATACATTTTTATTTAATATTTATTTTATAAAATAAAAAATATATTAAAAAACATGCAGGAAGAAATATCTTTTTGGTCAAACTTTGGGCATGAGGGGCCCCACGGTTGGAAAAATAGAAACTTGAAAGTTAAAAACAAATGTAAAATAGAAATCCTCACGTGTAGAAATCTGATGGTGCCCTTAACATTCTCCTTTAGACTCTGCTAATCCTCGTAAAGTATGCTTCTCAATTCTAATTCTTCACCTACTTATTAACAACTTTATGTTCCAAAATCCCGATTAGTTGAAGTAAAGACGAATAATGTAACTTTTTCCCCCCGTTTCAATGTGTTAAATAGAGCTAATGCTATATATTATTTATTTATGACTTATTTTAAATTTTTTACCGCACAGTATCATTTTTTGAGTGTTTAATTTTTAAAAAAATATTTAAATTCTCAATTGTCTTTTAACAAATAGTTTAATAATTCCTTACACTGTCAGAAAAAATATATTTATTTTTGTAAAATTATAGTTGAAATTAAAAAGAAAATGTTGTGTAACGTATGGAATATTTACTAATTATATTAATTAATTATCACAAATTTTCTTTTAGTAAAAAAGAGAAGAAAACAAAATGATATGATCGATCCATAATTGCTACGATTCAAGTCCAAGGGGGTGTGACACGAAAGCCCAATTGGGCCGAATGATTTGTATTACATAAAGCTGTTGCTTGCGTATATTCAGCAATTAATTTCCTGTACGAGTTGCTAGCTGTTGATGGCTAAGTTACAACTTGCCTTAGTTGTTGATAGCTAACTGTGTAGAGGTGAAAGGAGAATGTTTAAATATATTGTAATTATTATTTAAATTTTATTTATAATTATAAAAATTAAATTAAGAGGTAGAAAAAGTAAGTTTTTGACGATTTTTAATAATTTTTTTTGTTAATAATTAAACGTATGTTAAAGTTAAT